TGGGACGGTTGGAAGAATATTAGGTGCTGTCAAACCAAAACGTGGCATCAGTGCTTGAAGTCACTAACTTCTAGTCTGAGCCATGTTGGTAGATACAGACTAATTGGTTTGGATCCGCGTGACTATCGTTACCAGTGTTTGAAGACTCTTGGTGACATGGCTCAGAATTAATCACAGTGGCGTCGGTGTATATACAGTCTTCCCTTGAAGTTTGAGATTAAAGTTGCTTTATGTCTTTCTTTCTACCAACTAATTCTTCCTTCCTGTATTACCTTCTTTACAAAATCTTTCCGTTTATCATTCCAAATTTTTCGTATAGTCTTGAGTATGCATCTAAAGTATCTTTGTGTTTCTCCAATGAGATCTGCTTATCTCATCGGTAAAGGTTGTGTAAGATTCAATTTGATGGTTCTGTGTGTGAAAATTCCTTCATGTATACACTTGTAATATATTCCTATTGATTCCTTAAGTCGTACATTTTGTTAGTCTTTTTTATTCCGTTTGAGATTCTAATATTTGTATTTTACCATAGTTTTTTTCTTGCGCTGTATCTGAGTTTTAATGTTTCCTCCTGAAATGCATTTATGTTGTTTTAGATGATACTTAGTTTAAGCGGCAGCCATATTAATTTGTTCCTCATTTGATTGTGCTGAGTGGAATTGTATATTTTTGATTGTGAATCGAAGCACTCTTTCAGTATAAGAAACAGTTTGTGTTATAAACCAACCAGATATTATCTTCCGATCGAATCTGTACGTGATCTATCCAGAAAGGATAGAATAACATTTTTTTGTTCCCTTGGTAATTTTTTTATATCTTTTATCAATTTGTTTATTTATTCTAATTTTGATTTGCACACTGGTTGAACAATTATTGGTTGGATGACTGAGTGGTAATATTTGTTTAGACAATAATGTATATTTATATTTATAATTAAATCTAGAACTGTCACTTGCCTATTCACCTTATTTTGGATTCAACTCGGTAATAGCGCGTATCTAAACTACTTACACAGTCATTTCTCAGTTCAAACCTTAGTTTGGATTCTACAGGTTGCACTAACAAACAATCTGAATTATTACCAGGTCAGTTTTGTGGTGATCGTCGAGGAATATTGTCAACGTGTTGAGTTTGTTTGACACTCCTGTGCTGAACCGTATAGTCGTATGAACTCAAAGCAATACTCCATCGTTGAACCATAGCAGCTGAGGAACGTGCTGAAGACTTTTCAGGATGATAAATAAATTTTAAAGCTTCATGGTCAGTAACAATAGTGAATTTTTTCCGAATAAATATTTATGAGGTCTTTTAACAGCCCAAAACACAGCTAATGCTTCTAGCTGAGACTGCGAATAACCTTGTTCAGTAACATTAAGTTTGCGTAAAACACATAACTGGTCTAACTTCCTGTTCCAAAACTGCTCTAATACCAAGAGGCGGTGCATCATTAATAAGCACAGAATGTACACTAGGGGACTAAGTTCGAAGAACAGCATCATTTTGAAGAAACTTTAGTAGACTTCGTAAGCATGACTCTTGTTCCTCACTCCATTTGAATAAATTGGATGTCAAAATATTAAATAAACAATTTGTACAAGAACAACTAGGAATTAAGCGGGAATAGTATTGAAGAATACCCACTGGTGAACGCACGTCTGTAAGATTTTTTGAAGATGGTGCATTTGTCAGTGAAGCTAGTCGTTTCATATCTGGTCTAAAACCATTACCATCAACTAGGCATCCAATAAATTCAAAACTAGGTATACAAAATGAATACTTATTTGGATTCACTGTAATATTCTTCTTAATTAAATGACGCAAAAAAACAACAAGTCCATCGTCATGAACTACCTTATCAGAACCATGAACAATGAGATCATTTTGATAAACGTCAGTACCCTCAAGGTCACAAGCTACCTTATTCATGACTTCCTGAAATATGGCTGGAGAACAGCTTAGACCAAATGGAAGAAAGTTGTATTTGAAAAGGCCAAAAGGAGTGTTAACTGTCGTCAAAATAGATGAGGATTGAACTAAAGGGACTTGAAGATAATCATCCTTGAAGTCAACTTTCGAGAACACTTTAGAACCATGAAGTCGATTTAGAATATCGTCAGCCTCTACGCTCGTGCACGTTTGCTTCAACAAACGGGAATTCGATGTTCATCTATGGTCACCGCATATTCTAGAGGTCTTGCTATCCGATTTCAGTGGCGTAACAATGGGGGTACTCCATGCTGAAGACTGAATCGGTTCAATTGTGCTTTTCGCGAAGAAATCGTTTAATGTCTTTTTTACTGCTTCTTGAAGGCCAATAGGAATTATTCGTCTTTTTGGAAAGACTAAGTCACCCTGTACCTGAAGTTTTATAGGCTGAATTTTCATACCTCCAGTGCACTTAGCACACGTAGCTATCAAATCTTTAAGTAAAGCATCAGAATTTTGATTAAAAACTAGTAAAGCTAACTCCATTTTAAACATTTTCGAAAGCTTTAAACCAAGTATCGACAGTCCTGTTTCGCTAACTAGAAATTAACGTATGTAGAATTATCATCTCTTATTAGCAATTCACTGCATCCTCGTATGGCCATTTTATCTCCAGTAAACGCCAATATCGTTCCTTCATTGTGGCGTATCATAACTTTATTACCTAAAGTTTTCAAATTCTTGAGTAAAATAGTGAATTCTATGGTTCACAAAAAAGTCATTAAATGAGCCAAGCGATGTACATAATTGCCTTTGAATATGAACATTACGTTTCGAAATGGCGGATGAAGATAAACAATCATTAAGAACATTCAAGTTTATAGGACCAGAGTGACGAAGCTTGGCATTACTTGCAATGCATTGAATAGAAGTATTGCCAACTGCCCGTATATGTCTAATCATTTATCACATTTAAAGCATTAAGCATTGTAAGATCCATTATGAGTGCTTTGTGTGTTTGTGAAAATCCCTTCATGTATATACTTACACTTTGTTCCTATTGATCCTCTTAGTTGTACATTGTTAACTCTTTGACTACATTTGAATTGTTAATATTTGTATTTTATTATAGTTTTCGTTTTTACTACACCTTCACCAATTCCCCATGTTTCTTCCCGAACTGCACTTATGTTGTTTTACTTTATACTAAGTCTGGGCGGCAGCCATTTTGGTTTATCCTTGCTTTTGATTGCTTGACCTGTGTTGACTGGAATTGTGCATTTTGGTTGTGAATTGAAGCACTCTTCCAGAATTGAAAACACTCTGTGTTATAGAGCGACCAATTATTACCTTTTGAACGAATCTGTACGTGATCTATCCAGACAGGATAGAATAACATTTATTTGTGGTGATTGATCTAATTGATTGAACAATCATTGGTTGAATAGCCGGGTGATAATATTTGTTTAGAACCGCTAGTTACCCGATTACTTGTTCTGATTTCGACGGGAAAGGGCGCGTGTCTAAAATCCCCGGTCGGCTATTCTTCAATATCCAAACCGTAGTTTGGATCCTACAAGCATTACGAAATGCACATGGACGGATGAAACTTTCCATGGAAAAAGCATTGAGCAAACTTGTGCTCACCTTGTGACAGTGCTCAGCGAATTCGCAATGAATTGTCAACTGAATGACGTTGATTAATCATTGGATTAGTCGTTGTAATGAAGTAGTGGAATTCGTGATGCCCTGACGAGTTATTTAATGAAGCATTCCCTTTTTATCGCATTCGAAATTCGTACCATTTACATGGTCTTGTAGTAGTTGCTTGAGAATTGTATAAAGGAGTGAAATAGGCTTTTCTGTAAATGTGAGTTTTTAATAAAGTGTAGATTTCCTTTCGGATGAATGTGAGTAAATGATCCTCAGTGACAAGATCATCAACCTATCCCTTGGTCTTAGTGCTGATTTTGAATCCTCAAAAGCATCAAAATCTGAATGTATTTCCAATTGTTCCACAAAAGGATCTTTATCTCATAGACATTGTGATTGTTTGAACTATTTGAATTATAGTATAAACTAGGAATCCCAGAAATAATGCATATCGAATGATTAGGGGTCTATTGAGTTGGATGGAAATAGTGTGAATAACAGCTAGCTGCGAAGTCGCACTTCGCGGTCAGCACCTAAAGTAGATTACTCCGTCGTATCAAGGTACTATGAATGCTTTGAAGACCGCAAGACACAAAGGATGTTATTAAACAAAATAGTAGTTGAAGTAGGCACAAGCAAATGTGCGATCACTACCTCGTAGGTCAGTCCATGAAGTGAGATTAAACAGTGCCTGTTTGTTGTCCTTGGATTTGACGGGGATTGATGATCTGTTCAACATTCAGTGACCCAACTGACGGATGATTTGGCGATGGATCAGCGACATTTCACTGGCCATACATAGTCATCACTATTACTTCAGGAGATTAAAAGCTGTAGTGGTGAATAAATTACAAAAATAAATGGTCGTTTATGTCGTTAACATTGTTGCTGACTTCCTTGGTCACACTATAGTTGTGAGCGTACGGTAACGCACACTCACCAGACAATAAGTGGGTACACCGTGCTACATACGCCTTTTGGTTACAAGCCACCTTAGACCGGATGCTTATCAACCCATCGACAACCTCCCAAATATATCTTCGAACCCCTTCACCTACGGTATCCAAATGAAATGTGTTGGCACCTCTCGATCACAAATGTGTCACCGACGAAATCGTTGTCAAACCCTGAAAACCCGTCGTATGTTCCACATTTAAGCTTGGAGATTATTATTCAATGAACATTGTACAGACCTCTGGATTTGATTGCCGAAATCGCAACGCTGTTGAGTTGTATAACAGAAATACGAGGTAGATTGTGTAAAAAGACATTTCGATACTGACATTTCATACGACGATCCTACGCTTGAAGAATGGTTGAAAAACGGAATTAACCTCTCTTGTAATTCCGTTACAAATTTCAAAGGAGTTTCTGTTAATGATCTTCACAAATGTCATGGTGACCAGTTGGCGGGAGAACAAATGTCAACGACTTCACGCTTGAAAAATGTTAATTCGAGACATAAAGAGATTGACTTTAAAGCTGATAAAAATGGTTTAAGAAATACTGTTTTCTCAGTTAATGGTGATAAATACATAGGTGAATGGAAACACAACAAGCGTCATGGTACGAAACCTATTTTCAATCATATTATGCATTATTGCGCGTTTCCCCATTATTTTCCAAAGCATTTACCCCTTTGTTCGCCTTTATTTCCCATTCCTTGGCTGTTTGAGCGTGTAGTAATATTATATATATGTATACGATGTACGCTTTGAATGTTGATGACCACAACCTTTTGTTTTAAAATCGTAGTGCCACATAGTTTTTATATGTAAGAACTATGTGGCACTGCGATGTACTGTGTTAAAATAACTAGATTAATTTTAATTCATATAGACTGACCAACCTATTTGAATTTCAACAAGTCCTTTCGATATACAGTTTACGGAAGTTTTTGAATTTTAATAGATTGCGTCAAGGACTAATTATTATTGAACGACCATAGAAAACTAAGAAGAACTAAAAAGATGCTTGGTGTAGTACAGAATTAAGCAGTGCACAAACACAACTACACAGGTGAGATTACCAAAGAATTTCGGCCTCATAACCAGCATTTGACTTCCAAACACCCATTCCAGAATCCATTAGATTCGATGAATAACTTCAATGTACTCACGATCTGCCCCAAATTTTCATGGAGAACCGACTAAAGTATAACGTATATACCATTAGATACTGCCTTAGTTGCCTCGGGCTGTGTTGCGCGTTGCACGGCCGACAATCTTTGGCTGGGCTGTCGACGGGCATTCCTGATAAGTCTCTTACTAGTATAGAACAACTGTCCAATGCTTGGTGGTCTTTCAAATAAAATCAATCCGTGATTTAAACTACTTGTCGGTTGATAATTACAAGCAAAATGTTTTTAAACCTTTCATGCACACAGTCGCCTTAATTAGTGTAAAGTTTCTGTATATTCGGATTCGATATGTCAAACAGCGTCTATAGCTTTGAAAACTAGCATTGATGTTAAAACAGGAAAATTGACCTATCATACCTAAAGTAACCGAATTCTTGCAAAATTTTCAGTGTTGATTTAAATCACATACCATACAATACGAGTGTTCTCATAAAACCAAATGTACCATTAGGTTGATTTCTGGTGACTGTATGACGTAAAAAACATGAAATATTACTTTGTCTGAACTACATGTTCAATTTAAATGTAGAACTACTTGGCAAAAGCATGTAGTTACATGTTCGTGGACACTTGAACTCCCTTCATAATGACCCTACTCGCCTTTATGTAAATATAAATAGTTCCTCTTGCAGAACACTTGAATCCACAGGCTTTACAAGTTTGAATATATTCTTAAAATAACTTCTGAAGCATACACAATCTCTTCTTTTGATTTATACTTCCATTTATCGGTAATTAATACAAATAACCCTCAGTTGTGCTAGGTTCATTATTACGTACTAACCCATTCGGTATATTATTCTATTGGTACAATAATGTATGTCCCAATTGATCTTTATCCATTCAAACTCTTTTGCACAAAATAAAAAGGTTTGTATTAAACAGGTTTCGGCATATACGAATGGAAAAAACCAAACCTTGTTTATGAAGGTAATTGGGAGAACAATATGCGTAGTGGATCTGGTGTTTTGAGTAGGAAATTTAGGAATGGGAAACAAATAAATGTTTACTCAGGATCCTGGAAATACGACAAACGCCATGCAAGTTGTTCTAAATGTCATTAACAGTTTTTCAAGGGTTATGGAAACAACTGGTATTCAGATAATAAAATATACGAAGGTGAATGGTACGATGGAAAACGTTCTGGATGGGGAAGAATGTACTACCCTGATGGAAGCATTTATGAGGGACAGTGGTTTAATGATAAACGGCATGGAGATGGGATGCTTAGATTGGGTAACTTGGATCAATATATGTAGAGATTTCAGCAAATGAAAATAGATTTGAAGGACAGTGGTTAAATGACAAGAAGAACGGAGTAGGGAAATATTTCTTCCTTAATACTGGCCAACTGATGGAGGGAATATGGTGTGATGATGTACCAAAATCTTCCCAAATTCTGGACCTCGGAAGGCAAGTAGCGAAAAGTCCAACGGAGTCCGAAATACCAGAGGTAGAATTTGATTTATAAATACTCTCTGATAACAATATTACAATAATTTCATGTTTTCAGATATAGGAAAAACGAATGATTAAAGAAGTAAATAATATATTGAGTGAACTAAGAACATAGACTACATCCGGTTTCAGAATATATTATAAGGTGATTGCAACAAATTGTTTATAGACGTAACACGAAAACTAGTTACGAAATCGTGAGGTAATGATAGTAATACCTATTGTACACTGAGACATATACGAAATGAATTGAGTCAGAATGAAACAAAAGACATCATGAGTTATAAGTGAGAATATATTTCATACCATTTGCAATCAAAAAGCTTGACTTTTACGAACAAAGTCAGCAGAACCAACGTTAATTATATATGATAGTTACTACAAGACACGAAGAGACAAACCTTTTAAACTGATAATACTTTGTTTCAATTGAAGGAATTATCTAACATTTTTTAAGCAGATTCACATAGACTGTTGTGTTGTATAAGTTGACCACGTCACAACATTAGTGAGTTCGATTATCTCAAAACTTCAACTAAAATCAAGTGAGATTTAAAACCTGAATAAAGAACACAACTAAAATATTTCTTTCGAGAATATAATCTTGTGTAGTGAAGCAGTATACACCACACAACATTAATGGAAACTTTTTACGTAAAAGATCTTAGTAACCTGCGCGAAATTTCATTAACCAACCAAATGTGAGTTATTTTTCTAACGTCGCACATCAAACCGTTGTTCATAATACTAGGGACATTTTGATGATAAGTGATAAACCATCTATGACCAATGCATTTGCAGTAAGTTCATGTTATACACCTCATTCGTTTACTGATGAAAATCGCATTTAGTTTTGCGGTCAGATCAAGAATGCAACTAGATTAGCCTTAAAATGCAAACAGAAATGAATATATACGAGATACAGGACCGACAAAGTTGTCAATCACACAATGGAATGCTAGATAAAATGATCTGATTACATTCCCGACCGAAGCTGCTACCTTGACGCGGTGGTCGGGCTTGCCTATCGTGATGACCCAACCGAGCTATACTGGCTGGAACATATGTTCCTGCAGGTTCTACCATGCCAGGCAGGTCGATTGGAGAACGGTAAGACTAAAATCACCAAATCAAGGTCTGAGGGCGAAGTCGTACTGCTGACTGTAGAGGGGTGTGACAGCAGTAAGGTGTTTCCCTCGGACAACCAGCATCTCAGCGATGCTGCCTTCCCACAAGGAGGGGTGGGGTTAGAAAAGGTCGGCCCTAAAAATGTCACACCTCACCTTACCTCACGGATTTCCGTCTCCAGTGGTAAGGCCCTTTGAAGAACGGAGCTGACGCATTAAAAACCTTCCACAAAAAGGCCGTGCGCGACCGGCCTCAGGCAGTTGTCCCTTGGGCTCTGTGGTCACGCTCCCAGGTCGTCAAGACCAACACTAATCCAATTTCCTTTTCAGGTTCCTCAAGAAATACCCTTCCACGGTGTGGGCAGCCGGGAAGTGACACTAGCCCTCATACCCGTAACAGCACACGAGACCAAGTTGGTCACATCCAAATCCTTCCTACACCTCCTAATACCTCTCTTATCTCCATGACCAACCCTCCTCACGTCTATTTATCACCTCGCACCGCTACGGCAAACGATTCGAGTACGTGGAACGCCATTCCTGGTCTCCTGAAACCACGCTCTAAACTACACGTAGGAGCTTTTAACGTACGAACACTTTGCCAAATAGGACAGCAGGCTTCCTTAGCTAAAACTTTAGAATCTCGCGCCATCGATGTGTGCTGTGTCTCCGAAACGCGCACACAGGACCCGAGTAGCGTCATTCATTTGACCTCACCATGCCAAAATAAAGAACCGACTCGATTTACGCTTCGTGTATCTGGAAGCCCTGATTCTGCTTCCCGTGGCCTCGCCGGCGTAGGTATAGCATTGAGTCCTAGTGCAGAACTAGCTCTCTTAGAGTGGATCCCAGCAGACAGCCGTTTGTGCGCTGTCCGACTAAACGGAACAGTAAGAATCCGGAAAGATAGGGAAACTCGTCGTTGCCTCTTCGTCGTTTCTGCCTATTCTCCCACTGACTGCAGCGCAGATGATGTAAAAGATGAGTTTTACAGAAAGCTTTACGACCTCCTAAAAGCTAGGAGCCCGGATGTAGTAATAGTGGCCGGTGACTTTAATGCCCAAGTAGGTAAACTAAGCGATAGGGAAAGACACCTAGGTGGATCTTATGGTGTCGTGGCTCAAAGAACAGATAATGGCAACCGTCTGTTGCAGCCATGCTCAGATAACCGCCTGTTCCTTGCAAACACTAACTTTAAGCATAAGGAAAAACATCTCTTAACATGGCGACCCCCTAATTCGTCCCAACGTTGGACCCAAATAAATCACATCGCTATCAGCCACCGATGGAGTGGCTCGATAGAAGACTGTCGCTCATTCTGGAGCACATGCTTAGAATCAGATCATGCTCTAGTACGAGCGCGTATTTGCCTGCGTCTTACTGGACGTAGGAAAGACGCTGCAAGGAAACCTCTTAGGGGCCTAGTTAATGATTGTCAAGGTAAGACTATATTTCAGGAACAACTAGGAAAACTGTTAGGCAGCCATGTATGTGATGCCCACCCCGAGGCAGCATGGAATGATATCCGAAAAGCTGTGGAAACAGCAGTGATATCTGCTAGTAAGGTAAACCACAAGGTTAGGGAGAAACACTGAATCTCAACAGCATCTACCGCACTGATAGATGCTCGGAAACTCATTCCATTTGGCTCTGAACATAACGAAGAGCGGAGTCATCTTAAGCGCAAGCTGACAAGAAGCCTACGCAATGATCGCGAACAGTGGTGGGTAGCGAAAGCAAGAGAGATGGAAAAGGCAGCGGCAATAGGTAATAGCAGACAATTGTTCAGACTCGTTAAGGAAACCAGTATTAAGAACCCAACTGTTAGCGAAACTATCTCGGTAAAAGATGGACACATTATTCATTCTCAATCCAGGAGATTGGATCGATGGGCAGAACACTTTAAGGATCAGTTCAACTGGCCTTCAGCCACACTTCGGTTTCCCACGATCTCCAGTCAACCTGAATGGCAAGTTAGTGTAGGTCCTCCAACTCTTTACGAAGTTGAAAAAGCCATAGGAAATCTGAAACGAGGGAGAGCAGCAGGCCCTGACAGGTTCACTCCTGAGATTTTTAAGGATGGCGGTCCAGTATTAGCACTGAGATTAATTGAGGTCTTGGGTAGAATTCAGGAACTGGACGTAATCCCATCTGACTGGTCTCAATCACTGATTGTGCCAGTCTATAAGAAAGGACAAAAGTCCTCTTGTGACAATCACAGAGGAATCAGTTTGACTAATATAGTGTATAAAATATTAGCTTCAATAATTCTTCGACGTCATTGAAAGGAGTACCAAAGAAGTACATTAACCTTGTAAAGGCCCTCTACTCGAACACAACTGGTAGAGTGAGAGCTTATGGCGAACTGTCATCAGAATTGATTACCTCAAGTGGAGTTCGTCATGGCTGTCCACTCTCCCCATTCTTGTTTAACTCTGTCGTTGACGTGCTTTTAGAGATGACACTTTCCTCATCTAAATTTCCAGGGGTTGAACGTCTACCGGGAGGTTCACTTTTTGACCTAGAATATGCTGATGACATAGTTCCTATTTGGTGAAGACGCTGAAAAAATGCAGTCTTCTGACCACTCTAAGCAACAATGCAAGCATGTTCAGGATGCGATTCTCTCCCTCGAAATACAAAATGTTGCTTCAGGATTGGGTTACATCGACACCCGAACTAGTGATAGGGAGTGAAGTAGTTGAGTGTGTCGACCGCTTCACTTACCTTGGAAGTCTCATCAGCCCTTGTGGTCTGGTTTGTGACGAAATCTCAGCACGGATACAGAAGGCTCGACTAGCTTTTGCTAACTTGCGTCATTTATGGCGTAGGCGAGATATCCGTCTATCAATCAAAGGACGTGTTCACTGCGCAGCAGTTCGTCCCGTCCTACTTTATGGCAGTGAAACATGGCCGGTAAGAGTAGAGGATATCCGTAGGTTACTAGTATTTGATCATAGGTGTCTTCGAAACATTGCTCGTATATCATGGGACCATCGAGTAAGTAACACAGTTGTTAGGAAACGGGTACTAGGTAAGGATGGCAAATCAATTGATGAAGTAGTAAAACTTCATCAGTTGAGATGGCTGTGACACGTGTTACGTATGCCCAACTGCCGACTGCCTCGACATGCGATGTTCAGTGGTATAGTAGGTTGGGAGAAAGTTAGGCGCGGCCAGATCAAAACATGGCACAAGTCCAAGAAGTCACTGACAAGTGGACTGAGTCATGTTGGTAGGTGTAGACTAGCTGGTTGGGGACCACGAGATGATAGCAACCGATGGTTAGAGACCCTGAATGACATGGCTCAAAATCGTTCGCAATGGCGCAGGTGCATCCATTCTTTGTGTTCTCCCAAATTTTAATCTGATTCCGTCTCGTCTCTTTTTTTCTCTTCTCAAGTTTATTTCACTGGATTATACTCTCTAAATAACATCTCTAAACACTAATGTTTCCGATTACTGCTTACACTCTTGCTACCTTTACCACTACGGGATTTGAATCGACAACTGCATCTCTGTGCTGAAGTGGTGTGGCAACTCGAACTGATGTACGTACGTACGAAGTTTTACGTTGTTACTGACTGACTCTGATTACATTATTGAACAGAATACTTCCTGAGGCCCACTCATAACTGACAAGATACTTCAAAAGATACATCTTATTATATAAAACACCTAAGTAAATACTGTTGATACGTAAATCACGTTCACGAACCCATATATGTGAAACATACTACTAGATATTAGTTCAATGACTACTACAGTAAACGGCTCCCATCGTTTGTGAAGTCTTAAACTCAACCACGCCAGGAGAGGTTGTTACCCAATGACATTGGAAAAATTGGAGACATTCCAATCTCCGATAGATTTCCACTATTCCACTGCTTAGTCTCAAATCACATATTCCCATAAGAAATAAACATCGGCAAAACATTGTTTATCACGAACCAACTGATTTTAGTAATCACTCCTTAATACGTACGTTTTATTTTCAGATAAAATTAAAAGACCCTAATGGTATCCTCAAGAAAGTGCAAGAGAAGCTGATGGAAATAATACGTACCAACAACCCAGAGAGTTCCTGAGGGCAAAACCAAAACAAACTGAGCATATTTTGTTATACTTGGAACTGAGAAGCAGTTGTACAATCATCTTACTTTGCACGTACACACACCAATATAATAATGAGGAAACTAACAGCATATAATTTATTCAGAAAATATAAACGCAAGATTACAAAGCTTAAGAATACAGTAAATTGATAAACAAATATACAAACTCTACAAAGTAAATAATAACATAAATGGAAAATGCATTAAAAAAGACTGGAAAATGTAGTGGTAATAATAGATGTTGTGTAAATGCGATTTTATAAAGTGGAACACCGAACAATTTTAAGTATACATATCAAAAACGAAACTCATTAAAAACTGTTAGGTAGGATTATAGTACAACACATCTTTTTAACAATTTGTAATACACACGACTACTGATTATTCATTCGAAATCTTCTATTTGAAGTGGCTGTGTTATACTATGAGCCTCAGGGAAGCGTAAACAATATTTATTATCCCGCAAGAACTTTACAGTCAACAAACGACCTATGAAGAAAGAAAGAATGACAACAACAAATGAGAACGTGCACATTAATTCATTGTTGCAGTGCCTAAATTTATATAAGCAGAATGAAATGTGGACATAAATATACACATATCTTTTTAGCTTAAATGGATGTATGAGGTTACGGAAACAAAGAACCCCAAACAAACAAATAAATTACAAAATATAACCAGTAATTAGGTAATTCAGAAGAATACACTGGATGCTTTTAGTAAACAAGCATAGTCTGATCTTAATAAGCAAGCTTTATAATATTATCCTTCTAATCAAAACGAACGTAAAAACTCCAGTCCTGCTATTAAACCAAATAAACAATGAAAGAAAATAAGAAAAGTGGATAACCAAGAATTAATATGACTAACAAAGAAAACATTGCATTTTGTTGACAATAATGACCTAACATTGATTTAGATCGCTGTGCACACAGTTAGGTTAATCAGTTACATAATATGCTTAGATTTTTATAGCCATAATCTAGTATTAACTGAGATGAATAATTATACTTAACAAATAAGTAGACATCATTGTTTCGTAAAACTGAAAAATTCTGATATCGATATAGTAGCACAATTTTAGGATCGTCGCTATCCATCACTATTCACGATCATTGCGTAGGCTTCTTGTCAGTTTGCGCTTAAGCTGACTCCGCTCTTCGTTATGTTCAGAGCCAGATGGAATGAGTTTCCGAGCATCTATCAGTGCGGTAGATGCTGTTGAGATTCAGTGTTTCTCCCTAACCTTGTGGTTTACCGTACTTGCAGATATCACTGCTGTTTCCACAGCTTTTCGGATGTCATTCCACACTGCCTCGGGGTGGGCATCACATACATGGCTGCCTAACAGTTTTCCTAGTTGTTCCTGAAATATGGCCGACCTATTTATTAATATTGTTTATCTTTGTTTTTGTATATAACCTAATGGACAGCTCATATGATACTCGGTTTTAACCAAATTATCACCAGCAACTTTACCATCTAACAATATTCTGTCAAGCTAAAGAATTCACTTTTACACAATAGAAATAAATTCATTCAGTGTCTCATTACTTTATTCAATAGTGTGTTTATTTTTCACATCTTATAGTATCCTTAGCACGTATACGAACAAACGTAAATCATTGCTATTTCACAACCACTCTGTCGCTACCTACCCTGAAGATATATGTTAGACTGTCTAAGAGCGAGTTGAAACAAATCTAGGGGCAATAATATGTTTGTGCTCAAAGCTAGTATTTCGCAACTCCGATTTCGATACAGTCAATGAGCCTATCTTCTTTTCCCTTACAGTTTCGTAATAGAAACTTTATTGATAAGGTCATTAGTAGAATTATGTATATATATTAGAGTGATTAGCAATTACGAGCTAAGTAATTGTCACCAAATGCCCTGGTACAGCCGAGAGTGGGGAGAGTCAGCTTTCCCTCTCGAAATGCTTTCACATGACCACGTAGATACAACCACTGCCAGGAAAGTTTTGCTCATTGCCTTCTCGCGACGGGGGTGTTGTTTACGAAATTCAGAGGACGAAAATCCAATGTCCGGTGCTTTAACCGAATTAGTGGGTATGGAGAATCCATCTAGAGAAGTTGGAAAACCCTGATTCCAAACCAATGGTGTACATGGGCTCCAGGATCCTGAGTGAACAAATGACGTATGGACCAATTATTGGTCACCGGCTACCATGGGACTACATCTCTTGACGTTGCTCCACTACCTTGTGGATCAGACCTTTAGGTCGAAGGCTCCGTGTGTATACATCTTCTATTTTCCTTTAAACTATAAGATTAAAATCGCTTCATATCTTTCTACGTACTAATTCTTTCTTCCTGTACTATGTCCTTATACGCAATCTTTCTTTTATATATTACTGCCACGGAATAAACTAGTTCTTTGAATCCGGTGTTTATCTTGCTGTTCTAATGAGGTATGGCAACTCGGACCGATGCATATATGTCTGGTCCAACGTTGTAGCTAACTGACTGACTTTGTATCAACATTTATGTTCAAATAAATAAACAATAAATATATGAAATTTAGTACTATATTAAAAAAAACTTGAGTTGCGGAAACTAATGCAAGACCATGCAGTGACAAAACGTGAATAGACATACAGATATTTCAAAAAAAACTGAGCAATTCCAAAAAGAAACACACCAAAGATAATGCTTTCATAAGCTAAACAAGAAACCCGGAAACGAGTTGATAAAATAACTATATCTCACATAACTTACCATCAAAATAATTAGCATGTATCGAGTGGAAAACGCGACCTGCAGTTTCCGGATCTGCACACTTTACATACACCAATCCCTGAGATGAAAAAATCGAGAAAGCCGAAAATTCACAACGTATATCTATTTATGACTAAAAAATATCGTTTGAACAAATTAAAGATATATTCAGGTTGGTTCCATGCCTTCAGATAAAACTGATGCTACGTTTAGAAGTGTAACACAGCTAGCTAAATATTTATAGGTTAAACATAGAATGAATTATTTCTCAACTGAAACACATGTTTAGACTATCAGATATCATATTATTATCGTCAGTAAGTTCACAGTTTGGCTCCTTTCTTAACATCAATCGGGTAACGCAAAATATTATTTCACTACGATTCATGTAATGATATTTTGTAATGTATATTTACAGAGGTCCTTTAACATGAACCACATTTTGTAACAGGCTTCACCGTGAGACTACGGTTTGTTTGGATGAATGATTGACAAAAACGGTCGAACCAATTTAAATATCTACAAGTTAAATGCACGATGAATCATAAAAGGATATAAACTACAAATCATTCATTAATTCGAAATTTAGGTGGGATTAATCTCCCATATATCTGCACATTCAATCATTGAGATGAAATGCTCCACTTGAGACAACTGTGCAACAACAACTGGTTCCTTAGGTGGTTATTACAGCTATTTCACAAATAGCTTTTAGTTCGTCATATAATGGTAGTGGTCAATATTCTACATATTAACTGGATCTATTTGTATCCAGTAAATATTACTGTCCCACAGACGAGATCTGAAAATAACATCGGATAACTGGGACGGAACTTTGTATTTTCTTAACCAACCCCATTTAATTTCACATCCACAGATAGACTGTAGCGCTAACCTTCATATATCAATGAAACTAAAAATATGAGTTTTTACGGGTCTTCTAGAACTAATAAGTAAAACTAACACACTATCTTTCGAAAAAATTATTACAGAATACTCGTAGCAAATCTTAGAAAATTCGATTTTAGAACGCTGGTTCCTCACATACGTTAAATTACTCAAGTATCAATCAAAGTGTAACTTTGTCTCTAGACAAAAAAGAAAAAACTTCCGCGTCTATTTTACCGGTAGGAACGCCAATAACAATGCTGCCTTGTTCACTAGTAGTAAACTATTCAACAAGACTAGTCAATAACAAAATAGTTATAAGTGTACTAGAATACCGCCTTATCCCAGTTAAAAATAGCCAATGTTATGTTATCAAAATAAGTTTTGAAAACTTCAAAAACGATTATATCGTTCAATTCTAAATGATTATTTGTTCTTTCCGAAACTAGAATCTAGACCCAATAGAACTGTAATCTCAAGTCAGTAGATCCTACCAGAAAACTCCAGGCGTTATGTTCTGAGCAAAATGGTTTATTAGTGAAGCCTTTACTGTCATTAGACACATCACTACTAATCAAAGTTCATCTATGCGTAGGCAGAGAGGGAGTTCACTATGTTCAATAGTAACACTTTTCACAACTGGTGCAATTTATTTTGTAGATGATGTTGCATTTATCGCTTTTTGTCGCTATGTCTTTAGGTCTCAATAAAATAGAATTAAGTGATTATATCAATTTATGAAGGAAAACTGAGGTTTTCTGGATTGTTTCCTGTGAAATAATTAAAACGCCAACTTCTATATATAGTAGGTGCTAATTATGTGGTTTAGAACGACAGTGAAAGCTCATGAATTCAAATTTTAAATTACTGCAATCTCCATAAAACCTATTTCTGACAAACTTAACTAAACCATATGCCTTTGAGAGCAAAACATCCACTAAAGCTGAAAATTAGCATGATTATTTTAAAGAACGACTAGAGGATGAATGAAAACATTTCGTAAACACACATGGAAAATAAATTAGGGGATTTTTAAGATGGATAATTGTTTGGAAATCAGATGCTGTTAGGTATTTAGCTTTTTGGTTCAATTTCCAATTATTCCAACCAAAAAAACATGTACAAATCTGTGCACCAGTGGCCAAACAACATTTATTTTAAAAACTAATACAACAACCAGGATATCCAAATTTATGTAATTGGAGTTAGCTGAAAACTAGGATTTAAAAATAAGTAATATGAAGAACCCTTGTTTGACGGCATTGCTCCAACAATTTTAGCAAATCACTTACATTTATTCCAACACTATCTAAACCTATGTGTAAAATGGACCCACAAGGCATTAATTTTTTTAAGAGTTCGCGTTTGATTCTTTTACGTCCACGTTCATCGATACTTCTATAATATAGTGAAAGAAAACGAGACATATAATTAGTACAAAGTTATGGCCTCAAAACCACATAAACCTTAAACAATTTTTACTTTATAATAAGCACTAACACATATGTGACTGTATCTAAAGAAAACATTATTCACATGAGGACACTTACTCAGTAGAAAACATATTCCTTATTTTCAAGCACTCCGTTGGGGGAACAATAAAACTTGGCTTCTGTGACGTGTCCATAAGTGCTGTAACATGAAAGAGAGGTATTAGATAAGCCATTGTAACTATATAATGGGGTAACTTTTGTAAAACTTGCAAACTTCACAACTAAACACCAAACATACGTTTACAGAGAAGGAAGATAGTCAATTAATTTAAGTTTGGTCGATTCAAATGCTTTTACCTGATAGAAATTTCTGCACTTAGCTTTGAGGTACACTAATTATGATAGAAAGTAACACGACCCGGTTTGTCAAACCGAATTATATGTAGCGACGTCCGAAAATGCGCCCTCGTGGTTGACAATCAAACTCTTAAACCACTGAGCTAGTGCCTATAGTCGTTAGTCAGTCATATTCAACGTAGAACCTGAAATATTCGTGCGCCGGTTCAAGCTATTAAATCATATTAAAATAGCAAGATGAAATTATCATAAAAAATGTTACAGTAGAAGCAATAACAGTACTACTGGTAGTAAGTGACACGAGGCCTAAACAATACTATTCTAGAAAAAATTAAGTCCGCGAAATAAAAAAGTGTGTGATAATTTTAAAGCTCAAGATCTAAGGAAAGACAAAGATTAAAAGGAATGCATCTCCAGTACTGTGACTGATGATGAATCATATCATTCAACATCTTCAACTATCGATTGAGTTTTTATGCGAATCCTAACCAGATAGTCTGGACCTAACTTAACTCAGACCAGCAGTCAATGATTTCATGGGCTGATGCCGTGTCTTGGTTCGGTCGCCTGGTGGAGATGTGGAACCCTCAAATACATCTTATGAGGAAGGAAATCAATATTCATTTAAGGTGAATGTAGACCAACTTTTAACAGTTTATATTAAATATACAAACTTCCAAAGCCTTTTAACGATGATTTATGTTTGGTGTTTATTTACTCATTTATTTGAAAATAAATGTTGGTATAAAGAGGAACCGAATAAATATGCGCCACACAAATCACTTGATTTGTGTGTGGGCTGTGATACTACCCGAGTGCCCAGACCGAAGCAGGTGATTTTCTTCGGAGACCACACAGGGAGCCTTCGACCTAAAGGTCTGATCCACAAGGTAGTGGAGCAACGTCAAGAGATGTAGTCCCATGGTAGCCGGTGACCAATAATTGGTCCATACGTCATTTGTTCACTCAGGATCCTGGAGCCCATGTACACCATTGGTTTGGAATCAGGGTTTTCCAACTTCTCTAGATGGATTCTCCATACCCACTAATTCGGTTAAAGCACCGGACATTGGATTTTCGTCCTCTGAATTTCGTAAACAACACCCCCGTCGCGAGAAGGCAATGAGCAAAACTTTCCTGGCAGTGGTTGTATCTACGTGGTCATGTGAAAGCATTTCGAGAGGGAAAGCTGACTCTCCCCACTCTCGGCTGTACCAGGGCATTTGGTGACAATTACTTAGCTCGTAATTGCTAATCACTCTAATATATATACATAATTCTACTAATGACCTTATCAATAAAGTTTCTATTACGAAACTGTAAGGGAAAAGAAGATAGGCTCATTGACTGTATCGAAATCGGAGTTGCGAAATACTAGCTTTGAGCACAAACATATTATTGCCCCTAGATTTGTTTCAACTCGCTCTTAGACAGTCTAACATATATCTTCAGGGTAGGTAGCGACAGAGTGGTTGTGAAATAGCAATGATTTACGTTTGTTCGTATACGTGCTAAGGATACTATAAGATGTGAAAAATAAACACACTATTGAATAAAGTAATGAGACACTGAATGAATTTATTTCTATTGTGTAAAAGTGAATTCTTTAGCTTGACAGAATATTGTTAGATGGTAAAGTTGCTGGTGATAATTTGGTTAAAACCGAGTATCATATGAGCTGTCCATTAGGTTATATACAAAAACAAAGATAAACAATATTAATAAATAGGTCGGCCATATTTCAGGAACAACTAGGAAAACTGTTAGGCAGCCATGTATGTGATGCCCACCCCGAGGCAGTGTGGAATGACATCCGAAAAGCTGTGGAAACAGCAGTGATATCTGCAAGTACGGTAAACCACAAGGTTAGGGAGAAACACTGAATCTCAACAGCATCTACCGCACTGATAGATGCTCGGAAACTCATTCCATCTGGCTCTGAACATAACGAAGAGCGGAGTCAGCTTAAGCGCAAACTGACAAGAAGCCTACGCAATGATCGTGAATAGTGATGGGTAGTGAATGCAAGAGAGATGGAAAAGGCGGCGGCAATAGGTAATAGCAGACAACTGTTCAGACGTGTTAGGGAAACTGGTATTAAGAACCCAACTGTTAGCGAAACTATCTCGGTAAAAGATGGACACATTATTCATTCTCAATCCAGGAGATTGGATCGATGGGCAGAACACTTTAAGGATCAGTTCAACTGGCCTTCAGCCACACTTCGGTTTCCCACGATCTCCAGTCAACCTGAATGGCAAGTTAGTGTAGGTCCTCCAACTCTTTACGAAGTTGAAAAAGCCATAGGAAATCTGAAACGAGGGAGAGCAGCAGGCCCTGACAGGTTCACTCCTGAGATTTTTAAGGATGGCGGTCCAGTATTAGCACTGAGATTAATTGAGGTCTTGGGTAGAATTCAGGAACTGGACGTAATCCCATCTGACTGGTCTCAATCACTGATTGTGCCAGTCTATAAGAAAGGACAAAAGTCCTCTTGTGACAATCACAGAGGAATCAGTTTGACTAATATAGTGTATAAAATATTAGCTTCAATAATACTTCGACGTCATTGAAAGGAGTACCAAAGAAGTACATTAACCTTGTAAAAGCTCTCTACTCGAACACAACTGGTAGAGTGAGAGCTTATGGCGAACTGTCATCAGAATTGATTACCTCAAGTGGAGTTCGTCATGGCTGTCCACTCTCCCCATTCTTGTTTAACTCTGTCGTTGACGTGCTTTTAGAGATGACACTTTCCTCATCTAAATTTCCAGGGGTTGAACGTCTACCGGGAGGTTCACTTTTTGACCTAGAATATGCTGATGACATAGTTCCTATTTGGTGAAGACGCTGAAAAAATGCAGTCTTCTGACCACTCTAAGCAACAATGCAAGCATGTTCAGGATGCGATTCTCTCCCTCGAAATACAAAATGTTGCTTCAGGATTGGGTTACATCGACACCCGAACTAGTGATAGGGAGTGAAGTAGTTGAGTGTGTCGACCGCTTCACTTACCTTGGAAGTCTCATCAGCCCTTGTGGTCTGGTTTGTGACGAAATCTCAGCACGGATACAGAAGGCTCGACTAGCTTTTGCTAACTTGCGTCATTTATGGCGTAGGCGAGATATCCGTCTATCAATCAAAGGACGTGTTCACTGCGCAGCAGTTCGTCCCGTCCTACTTTATGGCAGTGAAACATGGCCGGTAAGAGTAGAGGATATCCGTAGGTTACTAGTATTTGATCATAGGTGTCTTCGAAACATTGCTCGTATATCATGGGACCATCGAGTAAGTAACACAGTTGTTAGGAAACGGGTACTAGGTAAGGATGGCAAATCAATTGATGAAGTAGTAAAACTTCATCAGTCGAGATGACTGTGACACGTGTTACGTATGCCCAACTGCCTCGACGTGCGATGTCCAAACCCTAATCTTCCCGATTACTGCTCATACTCTTGCTACCTCTACCACTACGGGATTTGAATCGACAACTGCATCTCTATGCTGATGTGGTATGACAACCCAAGCCAATGTACATACGTACGATGTTCTACATTGTTACTGACTGACTGACGACTATAAGGAAATACGCCTTAACTTATTAAGACAGAAACTTCATGAAAACGTTTCTGCCACCGTTTTCTTCAACAAAATAAACAGACCAAAAATACCGTTATTTGGAATAAAATTACATTAGGATGTGCTATATAAATTGTATACCATTAGAGATATATGTATACAAACCAAGAAACGATTTGTTGTCCAGAAGACAGTATTATGTTATTACATCTACAATATTATACGACTTATTTACTTACAAACGATTAAATACTAGAAAGTTTATTTGAAAAGCTAAGCATTTACAACAGTCAATTTATTTCACAGAGATGATACATTATAAATAGATGTTTAGTATGCATGTGTGTGAAACGTTAGTCACAAATGACAGGGACAAAATTGGAAATATTGTTTTGTCTTACATACCAACGAATATTACGATCAATAATATGATAGTAACTGTAAATAGACAAAAGTAAACCGAAATAACGCCAGTAGTGAAGACAATATGTGGATAGCATACCGAAATATGAAGAGTTGAAATTGAAAAAAATAATAATAATGACCTTAAAAACCTAACACCAAAAACTATACACGGTAAACAATGGTTTCAAGAGGATAACCTTTTTTGATAATACTGTACACTTATTTTGTGGTTATATACAATCAATAATCACTTACCAGAACCTTGCCAACCTGTGCCGCTTTGCCACTGCCATGTTTCACCTACACCTCTCCATTCTTGTACACCGATACAAGTTTCTACTTCATAAACATAACGCGTAACTTCAGGCCACAACCGATCTAAGCTAAAAACAGAAAGAAATTTAAATTTCGCGGAAAGAAATTGTATGTTACCGTATGAATGTAATCAAGAACTTAACCTCGAGTCCGCTGTTATTGTACACCATGCTTAACATGTACATTGTTTTCTACAATCTCCCTTATTCTCTAATACTGTTGTTTCTAAAATTGCAAGCCTTATCGACAAATTGCTTATTCATTAGTGATTTTTCAATATTAAGACATATCTGTATATAAACGTATTCATCATCTGATTGTATGTTAAAGTGATTTCTACATTCAAGCTGAATTGAACAAAAGTAATTTTACTTTGATTCCAATTTCATTATTATTTACATAACTAAAATAAACCATCCTGGATAGATAGTTGTATACAAGAAAGTGCAATAGAAAAGTTTAGTGTATTTAACGGCTTAGATTAAAAAAGTAGGCAATCAAAACAAGTTGGAAATGTTTTTCATCATTTTCATTTTGAAAACCCCTGATTCTTGAAGTGTCAAAGTCGTCGTTTACAACATGAACAATGAAATGATAGGTTTACTTACTAAATGTAATAAAGGATTGAAGGACACAACGCGAATAGACTAAACAAACTTAATGAAATATCCCACACATACCGAAATAATTTCTCAAGAACAGTTATGACATGGTAAACTACTCCGCTTATGGATGTTAAATAAGCGATCAGTGACTTACAAGTTGATAAAAGGTATAAATTATTAGTTGGCGTTGAATGTTTACCTTGTTTAGTGATATAATTCACAACTATTTTACAAACATTTAATATATATATATATATATATACTGTACTAAAAAGCGTACTAACACATTGTTAAAAAATATCACTTACATAGTGTACATATCCACCTTTTAAAATATCGGCTAATTTAGATGATTTTTACTTTGTAGTTTACTCCAAATATGAAGTAAAACAAGTTCGAATTTTAATAAAGAACAGGTTCGTGTGTTTGGCTTTGAGATACGATTTCGGTATATGAGGTCTATTGACACAATACAACTGACTAAATCGAGTTAAGGAGGATTAGCATTTCAACTTGAAACTTAATGGTTGAAAGCTTAGGGTTATAACGAAATGTTCATTCATATGTAACCATGGAGTAGGGACCTAGTCTCATATGTTTCAGTTAAATTTTAAAATATCTTGAACTCTGTTACTAAGGTAAAAAGAAATATGATTTCAATACGTGATAAGTTAGAATTTAATGAAACAACAACGGAACCACAGATCTCTTCATGGAAATATTACTGGCTTTTCATCAAAAATTTATTGATTGAAGAAACGTTGAGCAAACGAAAAAACCAACTACTACTTACTCGTTATGTTTTTGACGCAAGCGGTCACGTATCATATAGACAGGAACATAAGGAGGCTGATTAGCACTGGCTTCATTTTCTCGTAACTGATCTTGTAGCAAGTCTATTCACAAGCACAAAACCAAAAGGATCATAACCGAGATAAATAAAAAAATAATTCAATAGAAATTACGGTTCATTATACCACAGGTGTTCGTATCACTGAAAAATAATTTAACACAAGCAACCTAATGTTGGGGCAGTTATGAAAGAGAACAGAACCAACTACTGACAAAACCAACATAATTTAAGCTGCAAATACGCACTATTGTTTAACAAAATAAATCAGAAAATATTAATTTTTGTGAAACCACGATCAATAAAGCATATGAATGAGGCATTGCATTAAGAATTTTGTCAACTGTACACAATCAGTTAAATTAATTACAAAGGAACAAGCTAAAAAATCATTTGAATGAAAATTCTGCTCCAGTTATAGATCAAGAAGATATTTTCAGCCACGGTTAAGTGGGAACCAAACTCGTTATGTTGACAAACATCAAAATCATTTCTGAGCAACCATAATATGTAAACAAGATACCTGTGAATAAATTATTTCTATCACAAATATCTTTTCCATGACATACTGGGACAAGACGCTTAACTGTCAAAGCGATTGCGGCACATATTCTAGAGGATACTTACTTAAAAGCCATGTCTCAGTTAATTACAAACAGGAACCAAAAGCTTTTTATCCTTTTTCTGAGCTTTGGTTTCTCATTTTCATGAACTACACATAAATTCATGGTTATTCGTAGTAAAGTGTACAATTAATAACGTATAATACCCGGTTACTTACACGATTAACACTTAACAAAACTAAATTTCAATAAGTCGAAAAATTACCTGACAACTTTTATAGTGATACCGAACTTACATACAACTTCTGCCACCAGTTCTCTTACTCGACAGTTTTGACGTTCTAATGCGCGTAATTTTCTAGAGCGAAGTAGATAAACTCCATAACAAACCCCCAAAATAATCACACAAACTAATACGACCCAGAAAAAAGTTACGCATACACCAGCAAACCATTGAAAACACCGTCGGAGTCGACAAACGCCAGGAAAATATGGTTTAAGACTTTCAAGTTCAGTTATTTGGATTACTCGACTAAATAAATAAATAAAACCACATATCAATTATTAATTTGAACGTGTCGTCTGGTTGACGAACATCATATCTTTGAATTTTGAATTGTTATGAATAAATAGATAATCGCTTATTAGGATCGAAAGAATCTTCACTTATTATGAGGTGATATGTTGCATACTATAAAGTTTGTAAACCCTATGATAGAGGATTTACATTCACTTGTATGGTTTAGTCCCACAAATGAAGAAAAAGCGATGACAAACATTGTTTTTAAACCTACATTTGATACCACTGAACGAGAAAATTCATGTAGATAGTTACAAAGAATATGGAGCGACCAAAAGATGGCAGTAAAAACTTTCAAAGTAGTAGAAATATAGCTGAGTAGTTAAGACATTTACCCTCTATCCAGTAGACTGCAGGTTAGGAACTCGATTTGGGTAATCGGATAGTCCTGCATGGATTATATTACTTTTATTTTATATTACTAGTGTGTGTTACTTATATTGATATAAGTAGTATATTATGCGAGTCAGGAACGTAATATCTGGCAGCAGAAGATGAGGTGAAGATCAAGAAAGGAAGAGCGAGAGCACAATGGAATTTGTAAGAAAACGCATGTACAATGGAATGGGAGACAATGGATTAGTGCTCGCAACGGAAACAATCCAGTTTGATATGATGCATTGATATTTTGCAAATTGACGATTGACTTTATGGTATTCAAATTATATTGAGGTAGTCTGTAATTTTTGTGCTAAATACATTCGATTGTCCCCACCCGTGTTCTTGTTCACAACACTAGTGCTAAAATAAACTTAGAATTCGTAAGTTATTTCAAGTTATTCTAATGCGGCACGTTAACCATATTATGAAGGCCTAATTGCTGCTTTGATACATAGCAAATTGTCTGATTCTACATGACTGCAATATAGCACCGCTAACTATTACTACTTACTGATAGCATAATTGTTTGTAAAAGCAGAGAAATACAACTATCAAATACAGTATGAGTGTCATAACAGCAAACATTTTAGATACTTGACTAGCTTACTTGAGCGGTCCTAGTTCAGATTTGCTAACGTCAACAGCAACAAGACTAAAATGTGTCTTCCCAACATGAAGTAACACATAAAGTGTATTATCCCACACCCGACGAAAATCAGTTTTCGGAAATGTTGGCCAGCCTTTCATTTGTAAGCTGTGCTCAACCAAACGTTCAGCAGAAGATACATCTAGACGAGGACTAGTTAAAACTCCAACTTTACAGTAAAACTCTCCTAAAATGAAAAATTTGCAACTCAGTGAGATATATGAAAACGAAATAAACAAACGGATAATCCTTGAAACACTCATTAAACACAATAACTAAATTTTTAATTGGAATAAAATCTAGTGCAACTTAGTAACTAATTGCAGATTCGTGTATTCAGCCTTGATCCACACTTCTGAATTTTGGGTTAGCGAAATCACTCGACAGCTTAAATTAAGGTGAGTGAAAATGGCTTCAAACGAGCAAACAAGTATGCGACAGTTGAGTGCTCTAATCCTACCTGATAAGCGAACATTTCTAAAGCGCGATGCTAACACATAGAAAATGTCAGATTTCGATACATCGTTGGTGGATTAACTAAAAACAAATTGTTAATGCCGTATGATTTCTAGTCATTCCTTACATTGCACTAACTCATAGAAGGTAATTCCACAAATAATCAAAAAGGCTTACCAGCGTAACGACTGAGAATATCATATAAAATCCCAAGAACCCATAAGGATGCAGTTAGATCATCTTCATGTAGGCAGCGCTGGATAAAGATGGGAATTACAACTAATCGAACAAACTTACATGTAAGCCTTTTGTAAGACTATTATTGTAGTCGCCTGGAGATCGACAAAGTAACTTCTGTACATCTAAATAAATGTGAAACGAAATCAGACTAGAGTCATAATAATGCCTCTGGAAATTACTATTTACTCTCAAATAGTAGATATATAAGTATGCAACAGCAATCATAAAATAATGACAAAAAACAGAAAATACGTCTTACCGTGAATAAATAATAGCATGTGACACAATACGCCAAAATGGATTCCATTAAATGACGAATTATAATTGTAATACCAAAGAGGATTAGCTGACATAGCATTCGATGCGGAACAGTAACATCGTACCTGAACAAAATTCTCAGTAGGAGTGGTTGGACAATAAATAGCAAATGGTTGAAGCTGCTAAATGTTATATATGTGAGTTTTAAAAGATTCATCAGCTAGAAAGATGATATTTACCAGCTAATTACAATTTGAATGGCTTTAGACAGATAAACAGTCAGTGACAACGTGGAACCTGTACATCGGTCCAGACTGTCATACCAAATAGCAGAGATGAAATTATTAGCTCAAATCCCAGAATAGTAGATGAAGTAACAGTATCAGGGGTGATTGAAAAGATTAGGTATCAAAGAAACGAGTCAAGAAAATGTAAATTAGTGAAATGAAAACACAGGAAAAGTTATGGGGAATTCAAGAGCTCAGAACTCGTGCGAAGACAAAAAATGAATGCACCTGTTCCAACCCAAACGACTTTGAGTCATAACATGAACAACAACTGCATACAAATCGTACATAGATAACAGTGAGGAGTTATGTTAACAATCAGGAAAAGGTGTTAATCAATATCAATGCGATGTACATGAGTGAAGATTTCGAAATGCAATATCATTTATTTCTAAAATAGCAAGTGTATAATTGAAATCGAGTTATTAGCTATTACATACCAATTTACGGTCTTATACTTTCATTTTATACAATTTTACATCGGACAATGCAATCAAGGGTCATTGAACATGTGCCTGGATGGTTTTAAAACCAATTAGTGTCGAATGATCCGGTTAACGTGGGAGGTAGAAAACCATGTTTATCGATAGCGAAACATATTGAAATGGGGCACAAAATTGACATTAATACAACTTTTAAAACGTTGCATAGAAATTGTCAAGGACGAATTCTCAAGTTTACTGAAGCCTTGGCTATTCGTAAATTTAAGCTCCTCTTACGTGTACAAAGACAATTTGTCGTAACCATGAAATTACCCTGGTAATTAATAAATCATTCTATGGCCTAGGATAACGCGATAATTTCTTATTCTTTCTATACGATGTAAGATTGTTTCTCTCCCCTTTGTAACTTTTTACTTGAAATTTTATTTAGTTGACCCTTATTGATTTCCATATTAAATGCCCTGACAAGTATGTGTGACCAGATTGTTCGAAATGTATGGCGCAAATACATCACATTTTTCAGATCAACTCCGTCTTCTCATTGTTCTATCGAAATTTATATATATATATATATATATATATATATATATATATATATATATATATATATATAGGGATATTCAGAAAAATATGCCAAACAATATCCTGTTAAGCCTAATGCTATCCTTGAACGTGAAATGGTGTCATTTTCCTGTTGGTCAATATTCACGGTAGTCCTAACTGTATAAATATACATTCGCCTGTAAAGTATTGTTCCTATTCTTATTCTTCTTCTGACCCCATAAACAATTTCACCTACGGTTTGTGTTCTGATATGTTGGAGATTGGGGAAGAGTTTTGGGGTCGTACTGGGATATCTGAAGTTGGTCAGTCGGTAGAAATTAGAGTAGCCACCCCGCGGTCCACAACAATATATATATTATACATGAAGTAATTCATAAACCAAATATGGGTTTCCAACTAAGACATCCAATTACATTTCCAGTGATTTTTACATCAACGACCCAAACAACGAGTCGAAGTAGGTTGAGAAAACGCAATCACAAAACACTTTAGTGACGAAACTAAAACACGGAAAACCAACTCTATGATTATCAAATTAGAAATCACTGATATAACATTTGAGGTGTCACATCCTTATGGCTTACCTGCCATTTTACCAACTTCTCCATGGTGATCCTTCAAGAATAAATAACTTGCAACTAACATAAAACACACGATTATGCTTGAAATAAGAATCAAATTAGGGATATTTGAGACACTGCAAGGGAAATGCTTCCCAAATAAGAAATAATTTGAAAAGCTGTTCTTTTGATCACGCTGCTTTCGGCTACGAACAAGATCATTGAAATCAGTATCTTCAGATAAAATAGAAACACCGTGATATGTCGGCTTATCAAGATTCCTAGATGGTGGAGTGAAGAGAAGACCAGGAGACGTTGTGATTCCAGTATCTCGCGATTTCATGTTCCTAAAGTCAGTGGAAGAAGATATTTGGAATTTTGTTAATGACACGAATTTTAATGACGAACCGTAAAACCACTTAATACAAATACAAACCAACTAATTTAACCTACTGAGGCAGAAGTCAAACACTATGACATCCCACTGTCTTGATTAACGTTAGGACTTTTGTACTACCCACAGTGGGCATGGTAATTGTACTATCAACTGGATCTAAAATATTGGTTTCCATTATCACTCACAGACCGCGCAAAACGCGGTTCCTTTGTCTCAGGTCAAAATTCGATTGGCCAGGTTAGTCTACAACACTACCATGAGTTGAGGGATAGTTGTGTAACATAAGGACCCATTGTTTTGTTGTAATTTTAGGGACGAACCCCCAGAAATCACAACGAGCAGTATCTTGGAAGTATCTACACATGTTCAAGATTGGAAAACAGTAGTAACCCTGATGTAAATTTTTATTACATTCTTGTCTGTCGCAGCTTTTCACTGTGATTATTATTGCTTAACTTCATACATATGTCAATAAGTGGTAATTTACTTTAAGTGATATTATCATGTTTCAAGATTGGATTATGCATAGAGCTAAACACGCAGCTCTAAATACAACTAAGCATATTTGAATTTTTAAAACACTGTGATAGGTACTTCAGAAGCTGTCCAGACGGCTGCAAAATGACAGCACTTTAACTGGTTACGTGAAATATTACCTGCTTAAATATGCACAATTGAAAATTGCTTGAAATAAAAGACTAAATGAAACAAAGAGCAAACCTGAACGGAGAGGAATATAATCTCTTGAAGAAAGGGCTCTGAGTGGACTTTTCTATATCAGAACTATCTGTATCTGATATTTGTAAACGATCATTGCTGTGTGAGGAACGACGAACACTAAGTTTGGATTTTTCATAAACAGACTCATCCCTTGGAGACCTAGGTTTCGTAAATTCATGGGCACTCCGATTGAGCCAACCAGTAACTCTGGACAAGGTGGATGACATCGAACTTGGTTTTGATAATTCCTCATCTGTATCATCTTCTACAGAATCATCCTTAATATAAATATACGTTTTCCTGGTGGGTGTATAATCAACTGAGCTCTGATTGAGGTCACGTGAAAATCTTTGTGCAGGATACTGCGTATGTGAAGAAACTGAAGTGATCATATCAGAATCGTTACGAAACTTATTCACGGGTTCCGCTTGAGATGCTCCTATTGGGATTAAGCTCGGAAGTATGTCAGTGTAAGGTTCAGATAAATCCACATGATGTCCGGTAAGAGATGGCTTGGATTTTGAATATTGTTTACTGGGAAAGTGTTTATTCTCTGTTCCTAGATCGAAAATTAAAAAGCAGAAGAGTAATTCCATGATCTGCATCCCTGAAATAATTAATATTATATGAGCATATGACCATGCACAAGCCTGTTAATTCGATTTTCCAAATACTCAAGTATTATTAAGCCTTGAAGAAATAATCACGAACTTTATCTTTTTTTGAATGAGTATCAATGTATTTAGGATTGTCTACTTCACCAATAAAAATAAATACTTGTAAGCTCGGAGTTTGTTTACTTACTTAACAATCATACAAATAGATACTGTGACAATAACCACGCACAATTAGGAGTTAATTGCTATGGAAAACCCGACGACGTGAAACTTACTACGTAAGGCTGCATACCTACAAAGTGCTAATAATAGTACCTCTAATTTGACGTATGGTTTGAACTTATAACATGCACAATAAGCCAAGTGTGCAACAACAACAACTTAATTGTTGTTTAAAGCTAACTTTGCGTCACAACTATGCAAACTTGCTGAACGAAATATGAGAGAATAAGGAAATGGGACAGATTACTGTGAAGAGTATTTCAGCTTCATAGTAAAGGATAATAAATTGGTCCTAAGATACATAAAAGTTCAACTGAGAGACAGAAGACTATGATGTAGTTATACCAATGTTGCTTCTTATCCATGTTAGATATCGCACGGAGCGGCGAAGTTATGATTTCTAAAGCACTTTTGAGTGCTTAAATAAACCATAAAATGAAAAACTATTTATTACATTACAATGTGCTAGACTGTCAGTTAATCTAATTTGGTCTCATTTTCAGAAATGTCACATGTGAATATTCTCCGCACCTACAAATTTCGTATTTGCTACAGATAGATGTGATATAAATGAATCCCCTTAGGACATGAATATTTGGCTTCTTATCAAACAGATGACAAGGATGACAACTGGACACCTGAAAAAACCTCTGAATATGATATAAATGCAGCTGCTTACAAGGAAAGATCCCCAAATTATAGTCGTTTCAATTACTCAATCCAAGTAGAACAAAGTTTATTGAAAAACCATTCGTAAGTATTTGAAATCATGGTGTCTATACATCTACAATGCTTATAAGCTAGTACTAAACTTCGACAATGACATAAGCATCTTCAGAGATTTCATGAAAAGCAAAAGATATCGACTGTGTGTTGCAAAATATTGCATTACGAAGGTATACACAAGTAACTTTAGGATCAAATAACATACCTATGTCATGGTTCGATTCAATAGTTGTATGCTTACGACTGATTACACTGGAACCTTCTGTTCCTGAAGAGCTTGAATTTATAGTCCCAGTTGATTTGCGTGACTTAGATATTTGTTTAGGTGTTTCTGACGCTTCTTTTGTTGAAATACCCACAGTGAATGACTTCTCCTTTTGGAGCTTTTCAAGTTTTTTTATATAAACAGACCTCGTAGTTGCCGTTATTGGACCTGGATCAAAGCCCAAAGCCTTGAGTTCCCTCCGCAGCTCATCGTCTCTTAAGGATGTTGCCATAAAAGTTTCGTACTAATGATGAATATGTTAGAGAAAAAACAGCCTATACAGTATTAAAAATGAGTCAATCAACCAAAACCTAATAACTGTACGGTCAAGCGAACGAAACAGGCAACAACTTTTAAATGTGATACACCACAAAAGTTTAACCAACGATGCTTCGCTATTAACTATGTTCAATATGTAAGTTTTCAAAATTTGAAATATGAACTACGCTAAATAGAAGTAGCAAACTGCTTGTTCCTTGAGTTCTGATTACAGGCAGTCGAAAACCGCGCGCTATTTAAAAAGAACAGTGGTATTTTGACCGTTCATTACGTATCAAGACTACTGTTTTCACTTTAATTGAATTCATTTCAGTTAAAGTATTCGACTAGAGTACCGTTTTTACCATTCTCTCAATAAGTTTTGTCACTAGTACTACTGAGTACCTCATTTTCAATTTTATCTGTTAGTACTTTTGGTCCTAACAATCTAGTTCTTCACTTTTTGGTCATTGATTATTTTTTGTTTCTGAACATCATCACATCTCGTTCCTCTTTGAAAAGGACTCCTTTTAAATGACCGGACAGTGTAAAAAAGCAGTTGCCAACGTCCGGGTTGTCCTTATCCCGTTGGAAGCGGCATGCAGTGCGACGAGTGCAAAAGCTGGTACCATGAAGTTTGCACGAACTTAACGCCTGCAGCTTTCAAACGGTTCAGTAAGAAAGGTTGCGTATGGCTTTGTCAACAGTGCTGTTCGGATGCAAACAGCCTGTTAACCGAGGCCATCTCACTGGTTGATACTGCAAAGAAGTGTTTTAGCAAGCATAGTCGGAACACGACAAACAGCACTCGATCTGTCGACACACAAATCGACATGAAGCAAACTAAGGTTAGTTCGATAATAGATGACTCACGCCGATCAAAGAAGGAAAAGCAGTCTCCAAAGGGGCCTGCCTTAAGCAAAAGCTCAAGGAAGGTAGGTTCTTCTGTTCCCCGTCTCCCAGATGGGATCCCACAGGAAACGCCTAGAAGCCGCAATCGCAAGGCTCGATCGGTTTCAAGCGGTAAACATAACCTGACCTCTCAGGTCGTCGACAACCCTCCAGAATCCAACACTAGGTTTGACGCAACTGTTGTTTCTTCTCCTAGCACCGTTGATGAGTGGGTGCATGTTGTAAGGAAGAAAAAATGTAGCGATGTAAAAGGTAATCCTACCCCCGCCAAAGTAGTCGTAAAATCGAGAGCTGATCATAGCGACAGATCAGATGATTTACATAGAATTAAGGAGAGCGAAAGCTCTGAACCTTGAGCTTGTTTTGAACATGATAATGTGCTGATTAGGCAGCTGCTTAATCAACTCATGCCTCAAAATATCACCGGGGTCACCTTGCTAAAAGTGTACAGACTAGGGAGTCTAGAGGACTCGAATCCAAATCATTCCAGACTGCTTACAATAGTATTCAACTCCTCGAACGAACGTGACCTAATTTTACAGAATGGACACAAATTAAAGGGTTCAGGATTTTTTATCCGAAAAGACTTGCCGTTGGCAGACCGTGTTAAAAGACGGGAAGCCGAAAAAGGACTACAACTTGGGTTAGACGCTGGAGAAAAGGACCTGAGAATTGTAAATTTTCGGGTTGTAAGGCTTCGACAGAGAATGATGCCGAAGCCACTCTGGGTGAAGCACGAAGCCACTTAAACAGGCTTTGGATCTGTTACATCAATGCCCGGAGCTTACTTAATAAGCTATCGGAACTAAGTGTACAGACTGACTCTACAAAGCCATATATAATCGCAGTAACAAAAACCTGGCTGACACAGGCTATAGATAGTATGGAACTTGATTTCGAGGGTTTTACGTTAGTAAGGGCTAACAGAAGACAAAAGCGTAAAGGAGGGGGAGTAGCTCTATTCATTAGGAATGCTATCCCATTTGCCATTCTCGACAGTGTATCCCATGAGAGTGGGACGTGTGAATTAGTTAGTCTCCGCTTGAAATGCAAGGGACAAAAGCTGCTGATTGGTTTGGTCTTTCGCAGTCCAATCTGTGAGGCAAATGAAGTCCTGTTAAGCAGACTCAATACTTGGTCACAAAGTGGTCGATGCCTAATCCTAGGGGACTTGAATGCACCTATGGTAGACTGGGAAAATCTGCGAACTAAATCGTCGGATAATTCCTTCGAGCAGGAACTAGTTGATGCGGTTATCACATGTGCCGTAACGCAACATGTGAAAGAAGCGGCTAGGTACGATCCGGACACTGAATCATCCCTACTAGATCTTATTTTGACTCACTATGAGGATGACGTTGCGAACCTCCATTACATGCCATCCTTAGGTAACAGTGATCACGCAGTTTTAACTTTCGACTTCCATATAGCTGTCAGCCACGAGCAAGTGTCAGTCCAATCCAGACCTAACGTCTGGAAAGCAAACATACCAGATATCATGCACTTAGCATCGTTAGTAGATTGGACAATAGACCCAGAGTCCTCAATGGAAATGGGCTAGGACGCATTTCGAAATTCATACTTAAAAGTTACCACACCCCATATCCCTTGGACTATACCAAGGGAGCCGAGAAACTCCCCAACACGGTTCAGTAGGGAAGTCCGCATCCTTCTCTGTAGGAGAAGAAAAATGTGGGATAGATTTAGATTAATGGGGAACGATGAGACAAAATCTCAATATCAAAAAGCTCGAAATACATGTGCCTCGACCCCCTGCAAGTCTAGAAATTTGTACGTAGAAAAACTTGTTAAGAAATCCATAGAATGTCCTACACGCTTGTATTCCTATATAAACCAAAGGACAAAAAGAAGAGGAAATATTCTCGCACTGTGGGGAGACAGTACTGCCGCGTCATTAGTGGAGGATGACTTTGGTAAGGCTCAAGTGTTCTCGAACTACTTTAGCAATGTATACATCATGGAATCTCCCTTCCCGTCAGCGCATACAGATCCCCCACACATACATTGGATAGCGTGACCATTAAAGAACTCGTTGTCTTTGATCTACTAAATAAGCTTGACATAGGTAAATCCACGGGGCCCGATGAATTACATCCTAGGCTACTGAAGGAGTTATCTAACCGTTTAGGTATGTGCTTTAACCTATCCGTAACTCAGGGTCGTTTACCAAAAGACTGAAAGAACACCATAGTAAGTCCTGCCTTCGAAACAGGTAGGAAACACAAACCTGAGAATTACCGACCCGTTAGCCTAACTAGTGTGGTTGTTAAAATGTTATAAAAGATTATTCGGAAGCAGCTGTTTAAGTACCTCGATACAAACCGGATGCTTTCGGAGAAGCAGCACGGCTTCAGAATAGGTTATTCTTGTCTCACTAACTTATTAGTGGCTCATGAAAGCTGGTGCGCTCTCGAGGACCAATAGCTACCTGTAGACGTCCCCTTCATTGATTTCAACAATGCTTTTGACAAGGTTCCACACAACCGGCTGTAACATAAGCTAAGAAATGTCAGAATTGAAGCCAATTTATTGATGTCGATAAAAGGCTTCTTAGTTGGGCGTCAACAAAGAGTACGGGTGAACTCAAAGTTATCTAGCTGGGAAACTGTGCTTAGTGGATTGCCCCAGGGTACAGTTTTGGGGGCCAGTGCTATTCCTCTTGTATGTAAATGACCTTCCTCATCTCCTATCATCATCGGTCTTGCTATATGCTGACGATGTCAAGATATGGAGAACGATACGATGTGAGGGTGATAGCTTAGAACTCCAAACTGACCTAAAGAAGTTATCTGAATGGTCTGAAACCTGGCAGTTGCCGAAAATACTTCCAAGTGTGTCGTGATGCATATCATTCATCAAGGTACAGATACATACACGATGAATAACACTGAGCTACCTGTCATCCAGACATATAATGACTTAGGAGTCATCGTTAGTCAAGACTTAAAGACTACTGCACACTGCCGTGCAATAGCCGCCAAAGGTTTTAGAACCTTATGGTCAATACAAACGGATTTTAGTCATGTCGACACTAAGACGTTTTTGACTTTGTATACAGTGTTCGTACGTCCTAAACTTGAGTGCTGCATACAAGCGGCCAGCCCCTGCTTAAAAAAAGACAGTGAGCTTCTGGAAAAGGTTCGGAGAATGGCAACTAAGCTGATTCCCGGAATAACGAAGCGTCCGTATGAATCTCGACTGGCCAAGCTGAACCTTTTCCCGTTGTCATATCGCAGAACTAGTGGCGACTTGATTACAGTTTTCAACTTGCTTAGTGCCAAATTTGGACTTGATATGGCCTCATTTTTCTTGTCTTCCAAGACAGAGAATTTACGAGGACACTCCAAAATAGTTCACAAGCCCAGAACAAATTACTTGTCAGCTGACTATCGACTTTCCCATCGAATCATCAACGAGTGTAATTCATTACCTCAGCACGTGGTTGAGGCTCCATCCGTCGACTCTTTCAAAAGAAAGTTGGATCAACTGAGAGACCACCATTGCCAGGACTAACACAGGCCATCAGGCCTCCGGTCCTTCACAAACTGAAACTAAAATGAGGAGATATGTTTTTGACTCATTTTGAGATCTTAAAGGCTAAAACAACTAGTTCGTAATAGAGAAGTCAACAGGTGCCAATTTGAGTAATTCCTCTTTAGTTCCTGAAGGGCTAAAGGAATAAGTAGAATGAGCCACCGTTATAGCTTCTTTTTTCAAAGATTTCGACAAATTTCTGAATCAGACATTGAAAACATTTTTTGTCAATACGGATTACTTACTTACTTACTTACGCCTGTTACTCCTCGTGAAGGAGCATAGGCCGCTCACCAGCGTTCTCCATCCAATTCTGTCCTGGGCAATCCTTTCTAGGTCCGTCCAGTTGTAATTCGTCGTTTTCATATCTGCTTCTATTATCCGACGCAATGTGTTCTTTGGCCTTCCTCTTTTTCGCTTCCCCTCAGGATTCCAAGTTAGGGCTTGCCTCGTGATGCAGTTTGACGATTTGCGTAATGTATGTCCTATCCATTTCCATCGTCTTTTCCTAATTTCTTCTTCAGCTGGAAGTTGGTTTGTTCTTTCCCACAGAAGGCTGTTGCTGATGGTATCCGGCCAATGGATGTTGAGTATCTTGCGAAGACAGCTATTTATAAATACTTGTACTTTCTTGATTGTGGTTGTTGTAGTTCTCCAAGTTTCAGCTCCATACAGTAGAACTGCCTTGACGTTCGTATTGAAGATTCTCACTTTGATATTGGTTGAAAGTTGTTTTGAGTTCCATATGTTCTTCAACTGTAGGAACTCAAAACAACTTTCAACCAATATCAAAGTGAGAATCTTCAATACGAACGTCAAGGCAGTTCTACTGTATGGAGCTGAAACTTGGAGAACTACAACAACCACAATCAAGAAAGTACAAGTATTTATAAATAGCTGTCTTCGCAAGATACTCAACATCCATTGGCCGGATACCATCAGCAACAGCCTTCTGTGGGAAAGAACAAACCAACTTCCAGCTGAAGAAGAAATTAGGAAAAGACGATGGAAATGGATAGGACATACATTACGCAAATCGTCAAACTGCATCACGAGGCAAGCCCTAACTTGGAATCCTGAGGGGAAGCGAAAAAGAGGAAGGCCAAAGAACACATTGCGTCGGATAATAGAAGCAGATATGAAAACGACGAATTACAACTGGACGGACCTAGAAAGGATTGCCCAGGACAGAATTGGATGGAGAACGCTGGTGAGCGGCCTATGCTCCTTCACGAGGAGTAACAGGCGTAAGTAAGTAAGCAAGTAATCCGTATTGACAAAAAATGTTTTCAATGTTGGATTGAATGCCATATAAAGTGTGGTATTCTATTGAAATATATGAATAGTCTATAAAGGTGTGAAGAACTACGAGCACTATAATAACTCTACTTTAAGTCTCTCTACGGGCTCTATCTGTCCCAAAACGTAGATAAATAAGGGAGTCGGGAAAATAGCTCAAAAAAATCCATCTGAAGTGTCTTGTACTACGTCAAGCCCACGCTGATTATTATAACTTTTTTCGTTCTTTCCTCATTAGTTACATTTCGAATTTGCCAGTGATTCGTTTATTAACGTTGACTGTTTTTTATATGAGCGTATGTATTGCTTACCCTTCTCATCACAAGTCGGTTATTTATTTTTGTTCGACTATACATATTCAGCCTCTTCACTTGGTTTTTCCGCTTCTCACTTTAAATGTCGGTTTGGATAATTAAGAGTGCTTGAAATGAACTCATCCAACACAACGCTTATATGACTTCTTATAACCGCCGTTACGCAGAGAGGGTTAACCCAGGTAATGTACGGAGTCAAGGGGAAGATTTGTGTCTATAGCATTTTCATGCGGTTAAACCGGTGTCAGATAATGAGCCACAAGAAGTACTGTGAAGAAATAGAGCTCCGACAACGTCAAACAAGAATAATCATTCAAAATTTTTTATTGTTGTTAGGCACATTTATTTATAAACCTCTGTTTTGGTTTGTGTTCAGTGTCTATCACTTATCAATCTTTAAAAGACTCTTCACTTAAAGATCAGTTTTCACTGTGAAATCACAAAACAAATTCATGGCTCAACTGAAACATTGTTGTGGCAGACCTACTTACCATTTCCCTGTCGATGGTATGCAATGTGACAACTGCAATATATTGTATCACAATATGTGCACCGAACTCACATCGGCTGCATATAAACGGTGCTACAAGCAATTATCACGTTGGTTGTGTAGAGAATGTTGCTCTACAATGTCTCTGCTGATTCTAGAGGCGATTGAGCTGCTAAACACAGCTGGAAAATTGCCCTCAGATAAACAGGCAGCAGTAGATGAACAGAATTCCGCTTTCGAATGAATTGAAAGCATTATCATGAGCCCAGCTATGGATTTGAATGAGACCGTAAAGGTGGACCCTATCGTCGAAGTAGATAACGAGCATATGGATGTAGGCATTGTCACAAGGAAAAATAAAAGACGCGGTGAGAAGAAACTACCTATAGACAGTACTGAGGCATGTGAATCTACGGTTTCAGTTCCGGATTCACATATCAGTGCAATACAACCTATGGGTGAGCCAAGTCTGAGCGTTGTAGAGGATGTGATTAAGGGACGAAATAATGTATATGAATGGCTCACAGTTACCCCTACAGAAAGAAAAGTAAGAAAAAAGAATGTGACCTCTATGTTTGGTGCTAAATTGTAATCGGACTGCAGGGAAGAAACGCTTTCAGAAACAAAAACTTCAACACCGTGTTAAGACGGACCTCGCTGAAAGGTCGGTCATTTTTCATAATTTAACAAAATCTTCCGATAAAGAATCAAAGGCTGGATTTGAGCACGACCTCAGTCAGATTAAGTCCTTCAATTGCAAGCTACTCCCAGAAACAGTTTCAGGAGTTAACATCTCTAAGCTTTATAGAATAGGACAAAAGGTGAACTACTCAGAGACACTGCCTCCTGAAGGTTACCTTTGCTAGGGTTGAAGTATGAAACCTGATATTAGGAAACACACTCAGACTGACTGGATCAGTAATATGCGTCCGCGAGGATCTCAGCCTGGTTGATCGTATTAAGAGATGAGCTGCATGAGTAGAAATAAATGAGCGCCGCCGAAATGGTGAACGAAACCTTGTTCTTTAGGGTTTTCAAATTGTAAACGTTTGGAGCAAAACGATCCACAAACCACTCTAGATGGTAAGGGAAAGTTGTCCATATAATTATAGGTGTGCTACACAAATGCTCGCAGCCTACTAAGTAATATGTTGGAGCTCAAGAAAATGGTGGATAAAGAAAAACCAGATATCTCAGAAACATGGATAACGTCAGAAGTGTTCGTTAATAAAACTCAGTCGACCGGGTTTTTTTATCCAGTAGGGATGACAGATTAAACTGTAGGAGAGGCGGCGTGATTCTGTACACGAAAAGTAACTTGACCATACGAGCAGTTGAGGCATGGGCACATGATTCGGAGACATGTGAACTGGTACGTTGCAAGTTGAAATGTAAGCGGCAAGATATTGACTTAGTTGTAGTATATCGCAGTCCAGAATGTGTAGTAGGTGACTTCCTCCTAAGCAAACTTAAGTTCTGGTACAATAGGGGGAAAGGCCTTATAGTAGGCGACTTTAATGCACTGTATATAGACTGGGTAAACTCAGCCGTAGGGTCATCGATAACGTCATTCGGTCGCAAACTGTTAGAAACTTTAATTGCATTAGGTTTATTCCAACACATTAGAGATCCCACCAAATATGACTTACGAAGTCCTTCTTCTCTATTGAATCTAGTGTTCACAAACGGTGATGACGTTGGTCAAATGACTTTCCTCCCACCACTAGGGAGAAGTGATCATGCAGTCATATTACTCGAATTCATGGCTGAGATTGCCAAACAACTGTGCCCGCCCGCCTTAATATACGGAGGGCAGAAATGGAGGCAATCAATCAACCGACTGAAAACTGGGAAGTCGACTCAAGGGCATCAGTGCAAGAGGCATGTACCTAATTCGGGCGGTTACACAATCAGGTATCTCAACCATATATACACTGAACAGTCCCAAATAAGAAGCACGGCCATCCCCGGATAGGCCGGGATATTCGACGTCTACTAAGACAAAAGAAATGTTGCTATCAGCCTTGGTACAGCAGGTACGATGGAACGCCACAGGTCGGTAAGAAACACGTGTATAATTAGAATCCGGGAAGCTCAGAGAAAATATGAAATTTATATGGCACAATCTGCACTCCAGCTGCCTAAGAGAAGTCTCATCATTTAGAAACTCCTGAGAGTAAACTGTTGGGATATTCAGAAAAATATCCCGAAAATTATCCTGTTAAGCCTAATGCTATCCTTGGACATGAAATGGTATCATCTTATTGGTCAATATTTATTTAACGTGTTATTTTCCTGTTGGCCATTATTGTACAATGTTATCTTCTATTATATGGTACGTTGTGGACTGCTTGAATGGTATATAAACAAAGCATGTTTGAAATATAATGATTCATACATCCGAGGCTGAAACTTGTGTTCTGGACTCAATTGACTGGGCTATACAGGGAAGCGAGACCAATCAGAACCCTAGGTCGTTCTGCGTGTTTGCGCGTCTTTGGTCCGATCAATAATTCGCTACCCTTAATCAGCAGCATTTATTTTTCACTGTCTTGTCATTATTCAGTTGGATAGTCAACAAGTATACCATGTTTTGAAGGGGCCAAGGTCAGATATTTCTCCCTAAGTGACCGATTCCAACAAGTGAACTGACCTTAGAAATCGGCATTATCACATGCCCCCTGCCTTTCGGGGGTTTAAGACGAGAATTTTCAGTTCTAGAAAGCAGCTGCGTTCATGTTCAAAAGTACATATGGAAGATATACCGAAGAATGGTGAGACTAGAAAACACTGTATTAAATTTGCCTGAAGATAGATCCCATTTTTGTAACGATTGGTTACTAAATAGTGACCAAAGTTATATGCTGATTAATTGATGTTGACCGAGTTGTTATCCGACAAGTTGGTGTGAATCAGTATAATGTCCCATTCTGTTTGATAGTTGATAGTAACCCAAAAAAACCAAGTTAATCTCGGTTTGAACATCACAGTGGTAATATCTACGACAGTAACTCTTAGTGATACAGGCAAGATGAGGTATCAATCCCCTCAAGTTATACACCTTGGTTAGCATGACACACAAGTACAGGAATTCTTGCTCATTAACTTCACTCAGTAACACTAAATTTCTTATTGTAAGCAAGCAATTTTCAAGCATTATTGTTCAAATAATCCCGTAAAGGAAAATGAATACAATTTGATTTATTTTATCTATGTATCATTTGAGAAAATAAAGACTAAATATTTATCACAATCAACTTTTTATGTCCCCTGTACATAGCTTTCGTTTTAATTGTTCTCGTTGATCTTGTTTGTATAAGCTCTCTATTACTTCACTTAATCCAACAGCTTGTTTCATAAATCTGTATAAATTATTCCAAGAGTTGTTTAACCGATGATCTGTTATACGATCTTGTGGAAAATTGTAAGTTCGAATTTTTTCTGATCTATCTAGATTTCCCAAATGAGATCGACGGATGGAATCAATTAAGTGAGACTGCGATTTTGAATGAATTTCATGAAGCCTTTAGAATGAGAAAGACGAAACAATACAAATGAAATGAAATAAAACTGATTCGTACAGTTCTGTTTCAACGGTGATTATGAAACAAAGTTTTCAAATGAGAAAAAAATTACCTCCGAACTATTCAGACAACATAAATGAATATATAATAATCAAAAAAAGATTTCCAACTGAGGCAAATACTTTTGATGGTATTGCATCCGAGTAGCTTACATTGTTTACTCTTGAGCATTATCGTCAAGATCAATTAATTCAAAACCTAAGTATGACTTTCATTTTTTATTTGAAGTAACACTAATAACAATCACAATAAATTATACTGCAAAAGATCAGCAACCGGAAATTTTTTTCAAACCATATATTTATGGTCATTTTTCATAAAGATTCATCGATTTATTATAGTGCGTTCCCTTAATAAGGCTTGATAAAAGAAATGGTTGACAAGAAAGATATATCTGAAAATAAGGAAGATTATTTGATTGAGTTTACTCCAAAAATGTTTGCCCAAAATTGCTTAATAAGATATATTAATGATACTAATACATGAAGTACAAATCTGCATACTGTTTTAAATCGAACCGCTCATATAAAGGCTAGTGATATTACCTAGTCAGTCAGCGACAACGTGGAACCTGTACTTAAGTACATCGTTCCAAGTTTTCATGCCTGTTAGTACAGAAAGATGAAATTGTCAGGAAAAATCTAACAATAGTAGAGGTAGTAACAGTATCAGTGGTGATTGAAAAGATTAGGCATCAGAGAAATTATTCAAGAAAATGTAAATTAGTGAAATAAAAACACATAAAAAGTTATGAGGAATTCAGATGCCCAGACTTTGTGCCAAGACAAAAAATGGATGCGCCTGTGTCATTGCAAACGATTTTGAGCTATGTCATTCAAAGTCTTGAATCATTGGTCACAACAATCATGAGGACCCCAACCAGGTAGTCTGGACCTATTACCATGGCTAAATACAATTATCAATGACTTTATATATTGATGCCACGTGTTTGGTTTGGTCGCCCCTAGTTTTTTTCCAGCTTTCTCCTTCTATACCAGAGAACACCGGCAGTCGAGGTAGATGGTGGTTGAGCATATCTAACACATATCCAAACCGCCTTAGCTGATGAAGATTTATTACTTTATTAATCGATTTCCTATCTCTACCTAGCAATCTATTCCTAACCCAGAAATTGCTTACTACGTGATCTCAAAATACACGGGCAATGTTTCGAAGACACATATGATTGAATACTAGCCTGCAACCCTATGGTTGGAAACTGAGTGTTGCAATCGCTAAGTTACTGGTATGGATTAATATTTATGCAGCATTATATTCTACGATAAACATCCGACTGAATGATAAATCAACTTTTTACAAATAAGACAGCAAACACATCATTATTAGTCAATGAAATACTATTCATAGTGGTTTGTTGAGAATAGAAGCAATTATAATGAAAATTTGAACTCTAAACACTTTGAAACTTGGACATATGACGCCAACTGATACTCTATAAAATAAAACGTCATATCAATTTGGAAAGATTCAGTCACACCATCTATGCACGATTTAGTCAAAACCAATTAAGTAATTTGAAATATATCACCACTACATTTGTAGTAACGCAACTGTCCTTCTTAAAAACTGATTTTATCATAGATTAACATTAACTGGGTAAAACAATAAAGCCCACAACCATCACGAGGTAAGTAGTACAATGTTAGTAATAATAATATTCACTGAAATGTGTAATCGAGTACCGATTTACATGTCGATATAAATGTATTGTATGAGGTCTAATAATAAGGGGTTCTAATAACCATTTCGTTCAAAACATCCTGAAATGGAATTGAGGTGACGAAACAAATAATTCTACAACTGGGTGTAGAAAATCAGGTAAATGAACTGCGGTGAATGGTACATATACTACATATATCTGTTAAGAACTATTTAAACATGTTATATAAGTTGTAGTAGAAGCAGAATAAATGGCATTATACTGAGGCCTATAATCAATCCCTGAATGTCAGTGTGATAACCCTAGTATATTATAATAAACAATAATTATTTAGCTTAGGTTAAGATGAAACATTTTCTCAAAATTGTTTCTCCCCCTATAACTGAGGGAAATATGCTTATTCATTAGTAAACAAGAAACTTTATTAAAGCTATCCTATTTGAATTATTAGGGTCTGTACATAGTATTGAACTGTCTATTGTGAATAGGAACATTCGATCGAATAACTTATACGTGTCATTCAGGGTCGTTCAAATTGATCAGTAAGATTAAATCAATACAGATACTAGATATAAACATAAAAAGAGCTGGTTATGGTAACTGAAAGCTCATGTGAAGTGGAATCCGAAAGACTGAATTAATAGTGTCGACTGAGAACAGTTGGATCTGCATAAATTGGAAAGTGTGTTGTTCAAAACATCAAAACCAAACGAGTGTAACACAAGCAACAAAGACGATTTTCAGGCACAGTAACTGAGAGGTAATATTAAGACTATCTATAATTAGTGCTGGTTGTAATAATCATAACTTTTATGATGTTATACTATTATAATCACTATCGGACTCAACAACAAATAAACATCTTCACCAGCTGTTTTTTTATAAAAGTAGATGAAATTTCAGCTGATTGTCAAAAGATTGAACTCGATAAAAGATGTTTAACCATGAAAAAAGAAAATTGCAGTGTGAGATGACTTAAGAAGTTGAGCTATTAATCACAATGAAATGAGAAATATATATATCACAGATGATTTCTTATTTCTTTATCTATATTAAATAAAAAAGAAGTCATTTCATACTTGATGTTACAAATTGATTATATTTACACAACGAATAGAAGACAAGAAGCACTGGATAGCTATTTCGTCCCATTAAGAAATTCCATTGTATCAGGTTTGAGACCGTGTTATCGCGAATTTATTGGAGTTAGATATGTATACCATTAGATGTTGGCTCAGAGTCTAAAGATTGAGCGTTCGCTGCAAGACCTGAGGGCTCGGGGTTCGAATTTAAGTACGGTTGTACATGTGTTCTACTGAAAAGCCCCATACTAGGACGAAATAGTTGTCCAGTGCTTCCTTTTTTTAATGGTTGTCTCATCAAAATCAATCCATGATGTAAACTATGAGATGCGATTTTATTAAACGAACTAACCTTTCCTTGAGCATGTCTAATGCCAAACCTTTGTTTATATGTTGATAACGTTCACGTTGACATGAAATGACTATACCGGTTGGCAAATGTGTCAGGCGAACTGCACTAGTCGACTTGTTCACATTTTGACCGCCAGGACCGGTTGGGCGATGGAATTCCCATTTTAAATCATTATCAGGAATATCGATATCAACCTTTCAGGAAAAATATGATGAACATTACTATTCATAAAAAGGATTCAACTATACTCAGAAAGTTTGAAGTTATGTGATGAGATGAAGCCTTTGAATGAAAGCAGATCAATCTAATAAATCTTCACGGAAACTACATCATGTCGTTATAGCCTATATATATGAGAGGAATGTAAGTAAATTCTACATACCTTGCGTCTCTAACTATGGCGTTCGGCCTTGTTTCGAACATTCATGTCACTTTCAACTACTAAAGCCCCAAAATTTTGTTTTCAGATATGATATTCCTTCTAATTTTAGACTGTTCGAAGTTGATAAAAGTCCTTGAAATAGGATGAATTCATTTTTACTTTTTTCAAATTCATCAAGGAAATCAAATACACAATACTCTACATAGTATTAACGAACTTCGTTAAATCTCATATAGAGTATTAGCAAATGTATGAATCTTTAGGTCAAACATGGATTCACAGAGTTATAAGATTTTTCCCAAAATCCTTTAGGAATGGCATTATTAATAAACAAGTAATGTGCAGAGTAAAGAAGGGACCTTAAGAAAAATATATTGATCAGTTTAAATTTTGAACTTAGGCCGAGTTAGACTTATGCAGAACGTCGTTTGGACAAATGTTCACAATTTAATCAACAAATGAAATTAGTGAATATAAAGTCTTTTGTTTTAAAATACTCACATCGCCATACTTAGGTTGTATCGATACTGCTACTGTACTAGTATGAATCTTATTCTGACTACTAGTAACAGGAACACGTTGAACACGGTGAACGCCAGCCTCCCATTTTAACTGACCATAAGCACCAAACGACATTATACCGGATTCTGTAGTTGGTTCACCTTCAATTTCAATACGAATATACGAAAGTGAAGTTTCATTATGGGATGGAGCACATTCTTCACTCGACATTACAGTTTTGTGTAAAACAGTAAAGGACCAATTTCGTTGTATGGCGAAAGCATGATACATATTCATTAAATCATGAGCAAATAAACCAGCTTCTTTACCGCCAGCCCCAGCGAATAGTTCCATTATTACAGCTGAATTAAGATCACGTTCATCAGTCGGAAGTAGCAAACTAAGGAGCTAAAAAGTCAGATTTATAACTCAAATTCAACTGTCAACAAGTTGCTAAAAAATCATAAAGTTTTATGCACTGATTATTATTAAATGCTGCATTTTTATGGGCGGAAGTCCGACAATTTTCAAAACATTTCAATTTCCTATTAAAATTTAAAATTTCTTAGGCGCGAAATTGAGGAAGAAAACAACTGGAAAACTACCACTACTATATGAGTATTGTTGTATCTGATTACTGCTTCTAATGTTATAAAAGTAACCCTTACCACCAACATTTATGAAGATTACACACTACGTAAATTGGATATGACAGTCGACCATCCTTTACGTACTACCACACGAATTACAGGAAAAGTTAGAATCACTTCACTCGGCGTAGGATTAGTTTTGATATAAAAGCATTTTCCTCAACAAACCAAAGGTGATCTTTAAATCTGAATTATAATCAGGATACTTAGTCCTACACAACACCAATTTTATGATACCATGAAAATACAAATTAAATCAGATATTTTTGTTCTGAGATGTGCAACCTAATGAATAAGTCTTTAACAATAAAATATAACATTTATTGAATCGGTTACTTCTGATTGTTTAACACAAAGATCGACTTCACATAAAATACAGTCAAACACACTGAACTTAATGTTGTAATATTGATAACATCGAATGACAATTCTGGAGAAATATTTCAAAGGCTGTTACTTTTTCTTCTCACATTTGATTTTATTAGAGTGAATATTAGGGTTAGAAATCTTTTACACGTATATCTTCTGTTTACAGATTTGTGATGAAATTTATGGAATTGAGTTAAGACAGAACTGGAATGTCCAACTAGATATAAGTGATCAGCTGAATACACAGACCTTATCAGTGTTATATTGTGAAAATACTATGTGATCCCGACAGAATAGATTAATATGACAAATATGGAATTAGAATCACGAAGTGACAAATATGAAGACAAAGGGACGAAACGGCCGTCCAGTGCTTCCAGGTTTTCCATGGTGGTCTAGCTTCAACTGACTCATGATCTCAACCATTGAAATTACTATAATATCCGCAAAACCCATCTGATAAACAATAGTTAAATATCATACGAGTAAAACAGATTATTTGAGATTGTTGAATTTTATCGTTTACATGATGGACTGACTATATTTAAAAAACGGACGGAAATCGGGAAGCACTAGACGTGTGATATCGTGAAATTATCGAAGTGAGAACTGTAAACCATTGGATTCCGATCCATCTGTATGAAGTATGAACACTCGCCACAATGCCGGGGGGCCAAAACTCGATCCCACCAGGGGTCGTACACGGGCACTACTGGAGAGTCTTATACTAAGAAACAGCCGTCCAGCTTTTCCTGGCTTTCAATGGTTGTTTAGCCGCAGTAAGTTTGTGACGCGAATATTATATGACGAATAATATTCTAACAAATGAACCAATAAAACAATTAATATTTTTCTACATTGAAGAGGAAAATAATCTGATACCTTTTTTTCCAACGCTTCACGCTGAACATTTCTTTGTTTACGTTCCAACTCAGCAATCGCTTTTAAATCATCAACATCATCCTCAGTGTCAGTACCGACAATATCTATTTATCGGTTCCAGTAAATATTGAATAAAGAGAAAAATCGGTTATGATTAATAAAAAGACATCAATACGGTGAAGGAGACAATTCTTACTTTGTTCGACGATATCGCTAACTAGAGCAGAGGATTTTAGTCGACTAGTCAGTCGGTTAAAGGCAACGGAGAACGTGGGACCTATGTACACTATTAGTACGAAGAGATAAAATGGTCAGGGCAAGCCCCAGAGTAGTAGAGGTAGTGACAATATCGGTGGCGATAGAAAAGACATAACTCGAGAAAATGTGAATTAGTGAAATAAAATTATGGGAAGTTTATAAAATTGGGATCTGTAAGAAGACAAGAGAATGCACTTGCACATTGTGAACGATCTTGAGCCATTTTATCCAGTCTCAAATTACTGATTATGATAATCTTGCGAACCCCAACCACAAAGTCTGCACTTATTCATTTTCAAAGGCTTCGTTTTACAAAGTCAAATAGTTCTTTAGTTGACGAACAGATATCTCACCTACGCCACAAGTGACTTAGGTTAACAAAAATCAACCGGAATTTGAAAATTTATGCCGATATTTCATCACAAACCAACCCATTAGGGTTAATGACTTCCAAAATAAAATTAATTGATCGATACACTCAACCACATCACTAATCCCTAGTTCAAGCGTTGACACAGATTAGTCATGAAGCAACATTATATATTTTGTTAGAGAAGAATGGATCCTAAACATGCTTATATTGCTTCAGTCACAAGACTTTATTTCGTCAGAACAATATCATTTGCGTATTCTAAGTAAATAAGAGGATTCCACGGTAAAAGATTAATTCCTGAAACATCAGGCGATGAGCGTTATCTCAAAAAGGATGTCTATGACTAAGTTAAATAAAAAACGAGCTTTACCGCCAATAAGATTATTGATGTAGAAATCATTTTAATAAAATAACAAGCTACGTTCACGCTGCTTTGCGTTTGACTTTTTCATTTAAATCGATGAGAGGTATGGGGCTTTAGTCCTTGCTTCAATGTACCCCTTATTCAGTTCGATGCTTTACAGAATCGCTAATGCTAACGACAACATAAGCAGACAATTAACATAAATACTTGAGTATTAGTCACGATGATTAGTAAATAAACTTTCTAGCTCGAATTCAAATGATTTTAAACAATCAGGTTTTTAACCAATGTCAGTCAGCTACAACGTAGGACCAGACACACATATGCATCGGTTCAAGTTGCCATATCTCATTAGCACAACAAGATGGACACCGGATTCATAAAAGTAGTTAATCCAGAGGTGGTAATATATAAAAGAAAGATTGCAATAAGGATATAGTACAGGAAGAAAGAATTAGTTCGTAGGAAGAAAGATATGAAGCAATTTTAATCTCTTAGTTTAAGGGAAGATAGAGAGTGTATACACCTACGCCATTGTGATTGATTCTGAGCCATGTCACCCACAGTCTCCAACCATTGGTTACGAAAGTCACGCGGACCCCAACCAAGTAGTCTGCATCTACCAACATGGCTCAGACTAGAAGTTAGTGACTTCAAGCACTGATGCCACGTTTTGGTTTGGCCGCCCCTAACTTTCTTTCAACCATCCCGAACACCGGTTAGCATTGAATGTCATGGTAATCGGTGTTCGGGCATACGTAACACGTGGCCCAACCATCTCAGTCGATGAAGATTCACAACCTCATCAACTGATTAACCATCATTCCCTAATACCCTGCGTCTAACCTCACCATTACTTACCCGTTGATTCCAGCAGACGCCGGCAACATCTCTGAGGCATCTGTGGTCAAATATTAGTAGCTTACGAGTGTCTTCTACTCTTAATGGATATGTTTCGCTGCCGTAAAGTAAAACAGAACGGACTGCCGCGCAGTACACTCGTCCCTTAATTGCTAGACGGATATATCGCCTTCGCCACAGGTGACGTAAGTTGGCAAAAGCCAAGCGATCTTTTCGAATCCGTGCTGAGATTTCGTCAGACACCAACTCATTAGGGCTGATCAGACTTCCAAGATAAGTGAAGTTGTCAACGCGTTCAACTACTTCACTCCCTATTCTTACTTCAGGTGTTGACGCAGACCAGTCCTGAAGCAACAACTTGCATTTAGAGGGAGAGAAGGGCATTCCAAACATTCTGGCATTGTTGCTCAGTGTTACTAAAAGACTCTGCATTTTATGAGCGTCTTCACCAAACAGGATTATATCATCTGAGTATTCTAAGTCGAATTATACCTAAATGATATTAAGGGAGTATGAGGACTAATTGTATTGTAACAAAGCCCCTACTTTGTGAACTGTTAGTATACTAAACTTCATGAACAGAAAAACACTGGAATAATTCTTGGCTAAGCAATTTTAAAGTTAATTTAGTTAACTTATTCACAAAGTACTTGAGTAAGAAACACACTAGAAGTGAAAGTAAGTAATACCAACCAGTTGTCTAAAAACACTTAGAATATGAATGTGTTGGTACCAAAGTATTGTGATACTGTATTTTATGAGATGATTCATAAAAAAAAATCACCTGCCACTAATTGGTCTACTTCTTTATCAGCTTCAAGTAATATATCCAGTTCTTCAATCACATCTACTATTGGTCTTAAATTCTTCCAACATTCAGATAAAGGAATACTGAAAAAAAGATTGATGTAAATAAATGTACATTCATCAACGTGGAAACATATAAAGAATATGATGTATGATGAACCTATTGACTCGAACAATTATATTACTCGAGAAACTTATGAAAATAAGAGACCATGAACGGGTGTATACATTACTTTCGTAAATTCTTAAGCAGTATACACCTTGGACGTTTAGCTAAAAATACAAACTAATTAGAAATGGTAAATATAGACCAATAGATTCTAAACCAGTGGGCTAACCGTGATTTCTTTAACGATGGATACGAGGGCTGTAAAATACAGTTTATGAGACTGGTTGGATTCTTAAGTTACAAATCATAAATTATTGATTGGCGTTATCTGCACTTCATGGTTTTTTTTCCAAGCTATTCAAGTGATAAGAACCATAGAATATTTTACCTCATGTGCTTAATGAATGGTCAACAATAATAAGTGTATTGTGACTAGTTAAGAAAATTGGATTTGCAAATGCTCATTGAACGATGGAATCTTACACCCACAAAGCGGTTAAAATGTTTATACGTAGGAAAAAAGTTACTTGCTGCCCACATTAACACCTTATATGTTTATTTTACACCAGCAGTGTACAAAATACACTGTGTTTTCTTGTAGGCAAATATGTACTATAACCAATTCATTATTTTATTTTTAACCAAGTGTAGCTACGTTTGGAACAAAAATCGTGTTAACTGATATCCAAATCAAGTGAGTAAAATATCCACCACGTGGTTTAGTAAACCACTCGAAGTTCCTTTTTACTTAAAGTATTATAGTCAGAAATGAATTAACAGTAAGGAATAATAGTGGTGGTAACAACAGTAGTATTAAAAATAAGAAAGGGCCAGAATGATAGTTGTGAAGTAAGAATGCAATCAATAAAACAATAAAAAATGAGTTATTCTGGACTGGTAGATTACGTAACTTATTTTCACATAACAAATAATCTAACCTCCAGTAATATACTTTTGGTAACACTCAACTGAGAAATTTATGTACCTGACATATGGGTTTAAAATATCGTTGACTTCTTTCCTAAAAGTACGGTTGTTGGTCAGTGAGATTTCAATCAGTAAATATATCCTTAAAAGGCTGAAAGTTAAGTAACAGATAACTCATTATAGAAATCACAGACAATCTTCGTGAATAAAATTTGCCCGATAAAACTACCAATCTCACGAGTATTAATTTAAGTGAGCCGACATAACAGTTCGCCGGGTTACTTCAATAGAAAAAATAAAACCATGTGAGGAAGAATATAGGGAATAAATTACGAAATCGACAAGAAATATTAATGCTATGAATTTTTAGCAAAGTAAAGAAACAAATACACCACTGAGGTATGCTTCGTTCTGACCCATGAGACTGAGGAGCTTTCATCTTTTATACGACTTAAACGGACGACTCACAAATTTAATAATCAACATCACGTCTTCTCAATATCTTGATTTTAACATAACTAAAATAGTGTAGTAAATGTAGGACTGACTAATGTAAATGACTTTAGAAAATCGTGTACGCAAAGCATACTAACTTCACTTTAAACAATATAACTATAAATAATGTTTCCCAACCAGTTGAAACGCTACACTTAGTTGTTTTCAAGCCAAATATCCGCTCACAGATAGAATAAGATATAGGACCTAATTAGTTACCTAAACACTGATTAGTGATGTTACTATCGGGGACTTGATAATGGCTAATTATCTGCATTGCAAAACGACAAAACGTCTGACCAACTGTCACATTTTTATATAACTGATCAGACTTTAAGAGTGATGCATTTCTTAACTTACAGGTCACATTCTTTTGCCCCAGATGTCATGAGTTTAGTGACGTTTTCATACTCGGATATTATATTTTTCTTAAAAGCATCAAAATGTTCTGTAAGATCTTCGGGCAACCATGACGGTTTGACAGCACACGAACGAGAAATAGGTGTAGGGAAACAAGGTACACCACAAAGCCGGTAAATACGATAATAAGATTTCAGCGCACGCATTCCTATGAAGAAACAAAAGGCTTATAATCATACATAGGAGTGAGAGTCAGCACGCAAGCATGTATTCACTATTTATTTATAGGGAACAAAAGCGGTTCATTTATTTTCTATTCAACTGCTTTAACACTGTCTTTCGCTGAATATATTCATTTCCTCCCAAATCCTCCAGGTCATTTTGCTCGTAAGATACAGCCTCATCTAACAACTTCAGTTCGGACTGTTGCATTGAAGGAGGAGTCCAAATACCTTTATCGGGGACTTCAAACAACCAAAAGTAGTCAAGGATTTGTTTAGTCTGTAAAATATATTATAGTGAATGTGTTTACTTTCTCTTTGTCAAGTTTAAACAATTCACTTAAACTATCAATATCTGCAGCGCTTTTCTGATGAGTCGCTATAAGTTTGACGGCTTGACGCATTGTTAGTCTTCCTTCTGGAACCGACTCTGGAACAACGAAACCAAAGTCTTCACTGGGTGGAGGATAAGGATAGATGCCAGCATACTTCTAACGTCTAGCATAATATTTCTATTAAAATACAAACCTGTGGTAGCTTGCGCGTTGTTTTGCTAACGTATTCCATACCTTCGGGTAATATGCCTTTATTTAAAGACTTTGCTACTATCCCTAAAGAGTTAACATTTTTATCCAATTCTGGATTATGCGCTGATAGTTTCTCATATCGTTCGTCCACTACTGAAACGGTTCCCGGATGCTTAGGAGGAGCCTTGAAAACATTTTTGTTCACCTCCAGATATTTCATAGCTCTTTCTTCTACGTTATAATTTATTATAAACCGACGCGCCATCGACATTACTTTCCCCATTTTAGGCACTGGAAGACAGGACAAACCCCTTCAAATCGGCCCGCCGTTTCGTTTCAACGACCTTGAACGGCCTGACTATAAGCGGTCATTCCGTATTTCAATTGCCGTAGGTGTGTTGTGTCGTATGAGTAATAAGTTTTTTTTCATATTTAAGTCATCTTCTGCCGCATGAAAAAGCACAAAATAACTGCCAAAAGCAATAATTTATCATTCTCTGTTTTGTAGGGTACACGTTAGCTCTGTTGTTGCTTCGTAACGTGATCTGTGATCCCAACTGCTGCGGTAAACGTCATCACTTTCATCAAATTTGTTGATAAGGTCCAGAAAATAATGTTAGAAAGATAAGATAACCTTAAAAGTTATAGGTACGCAAAGTTTTTGTGAATCGCTTTAAACAAAACAGTTGAGACGAAATGTCAACTCACGGGTAAGTCCTAAATATTTGTTGTTGTTTTTTTAAGGAATAACCTTTTTAATAATTAATGCGCGTTGTCTGCAGTGCTCCGTGCTCAAGTGAAATTTCAGTGGAAGTAAGCGAGGCGTTTCAACGTATTATACTGAACAAGCGATTCAGAAGTTGGGTTGAATTTGATAGTGCGCTAAAGGATTTCCATAAAGTAGGGAGGATAATTATATGTTTTCTCAGATAACTCATTTTGGTTGAGTATTATTTAATTAGCGCAGAAGGCCATACAACAGACAAGATAAAATTAAGCATCTGAAATAAAGAGTCTAGTGGACCTCAATATTTTTAGAATGTTTCATTTTAATATCGGGGTCCTGAAAAATTGTTACAAAGCGTTGTGACTGGGTGTGAAAGGTGATGTTAGTTATCCATTACTTTTCAGACGAGCTTAGTTCGTGATGATAGATGTTAGATAGCAAAAGGTTCTGGATGAAATATGATGAGATTTCACTTAACGCGCTGACGTGTCTGTTTGTAAAGGATCAGGACAGTCATTGTTGAACGAACTCTCCGGTCAAGTTTATCACATGGATCAACACAATAACTGTAGGTCGGATCATCTTGTTACATTAGTTTGGCTGCCTATTTATTTTTGTCAAGTGCATACTCAAAGACCAAGAGAATGAATGAAGTGAGAAATAGATTGCAAATATTCCGGATATGTAAATATTGGTAGTTGAATCAACTAAAATGCACAGAAGTATTAACCATTCAATATACAATACAATTGAGTGTACGTAACTTTATTAAAGTTATAAATTACTCTTACCCTTTGGTCCTTGTTTTCCTACACGCGTGGAGGCGATGTACCGTTGACAGAATACCGGCATATATTAACGTGTGCGACGTGTACTAGCACATTCTCCGTAGAATTGGTTTCTAGGTCTTAACTTCGAAACCCACCACTTATTGTTCTCCAGATTTTGATATCATTTACGGACAATATACTTGATGACTTGAGAGAAGAGGGGGTAGTGAGCCTATGATGTATCTTGTTGTACTGCACTTGCCCATTATTGCACCGCATCTGTTATTCCAATGCTCGAAATCTGCTGCACAAAACCTGGATGCGAAACCTCACCGAATACCTTACTAAGATTTATGGATGTCAAATCGACCGACAAACTGTTATCTTCGACAACCACCAATATTGACTCGGACATTCTATTTCTCAGATTACGAGCGTTTAAGTAGCACTCATTTAAGGTATATCGAGAATAACTCGTTCTACTCACACAGGTTTCGGAAGCATTGAATCTGAAGACCTGACCACCCGAAAACTCTGCATCCTAATGTTTCCTTCGATATTTTGCTATCGAATTTCTAACTCAGTAAGGTCATTCTTTCACTTGATTCCTTCCCTAAGTGGCGATCTAGTCAGACAGAAATATTCAAACTACTAGATTCGTTTCCATTGTTTAGTATAACGTACCTTTAATTGTAACTTCTGAGTACGTATTTAAACACCCTTCTTAGTTCGGTCTCGCCTGCAACCCACTTACATGGTTTTATTAATTTTGCAATACACACACTTCAAATCTTTATGTCACTATATTTCTGATGCCGAATTCCACAAACCCCAAAGCGTGTGCATGCTTTCTAACAGAGTCATTTTCTTTTACGTACGGGTTTGATTCCTTCGAAAGTCGTGTTCGCGGTTTTCGATTGCGTTATCGTTTTATGCCTCGTTGGTTTTCTTTCACAGTCATTTGATTCGAGTTGGTCACTCACGATAATGTTCAATGAGATCAGATCGTTCTTACTTTGGGACTTCAGTGGAGTACTACTGTTAAATCGCGACCACCAATATACAGCTGTTTCTCATCCTTAAATTCATTTTGGACGTTTCACAAATGGGTATTTGACTTGCTTCCCATCAGCACTAAGTACACTGACATAGTCTTCGTTGTCAGTACTCGTGTTACCAATTTAGCTCCCACACACTTCCTTTATGTCCAACACCAGAAAGCCGATTGCTTCTTACTTAAACAATAAAATACATGAAGTCAATGAGTGTTAGGCTTTGGGTATTTTTTATTTAAACGGGTACACGCCTTTTATACTCATCACATAGAATTCCTACATCCACTGTGTAGAAACCATTTGGCCGTCCACATTTGTGAGTAGAGCAGACCATCTTAAAAGATGTAAAAGCAGAGCAGTCGAAGAAAAACCAACTCATAAGGAATTTGAAAAATGCCAAAACTTAACCGAAATAACTCAAGCTGAAGTAAACCATGTATGCTTTTGGTGCAACATATATAAACAGGTACATCTAACTTGAAGATGCCACAAGTATTCGGAGTTTGACAAAGCTTTAACCAGTAACACCTTCTACTATGAATCGTACCCATTAAGCGAAATCAAAAGACAGAAGCGAGGAGGTTCGAAGGTATATTTGATAGACTGTCAATATATCGAGCATCGTCTGAACTAATCCGGCTAGCGATTGCAGGAGTTGTTGAGCACGGCGTTCCCACTTGTGATCTGATGCGGATGCATGATCGAGTGACTTCAGATAGGTGAGTCCGTTGGAACTAATGTGGTCAGCATCCAATGTCGAAAACTTATAGAGCTATTTTGTTATGTGGATATATTTACCGCTACAAACTCACGAAAAATACGAAATTACTGGGTTACAAGTGGTTGTGATTCAAGGAACAGCAAAGATTTAGTCAAACTTTGGAAATATCAGTAAAAGTGGCTGTCATTAATTTTTACGACCATCAATTTACAATCCGAAGACTGTGGTTAGTTTATATTCTGTGTCTGTCAGTTCCGAAAACCCCATCAGCCAGAAGGGTTGGGCATTGAGTCAGCAACCTCATTCAGTGAAAATATGCTGTAAGATCCAAACTACGGTTTGGAGTGAAGGACAGCTGTCTGGATGAGTTAGATACGCGCCCTCGCCCGATTGAAACCAAAACAAAGTAATTGGGTAAGATGACGGTTCTATAATTTATCATAAATTTAAGTGTACATTATTACCTAAACAAATATAACCACTCAGCTATCCAACCAATAATTGTTCAATTGATCGAATCTAAACTACAATAAATAAGAAAGTTGATAAAGGATGCAAGAAAATTACCAGCCACCACAAATAAATGTTATTCTATCCTGTCTGGATAGATCACGTACAGATTCGTTCAAAAGGTAATAATTGGTCGCTCTATAACACAGAGTGTTTTCAATTCTGGAAGAGTGCTTCTATTCACAACCAAAATGCACAATTCCAGTCAACACAGGTCAAGCAATCAAAAGCAGGAACAAACCAAAATGGCTGCCGCCCAGACTTAGTATAAAGTAAAACAACATAAGTGCAGTTCGGGAAAAAACATGGGGAATTGGTGAAGGTGTAGTAAAAACGAAAACTATAATAAAATACAAATATTAACAATTCAAATGTAGTCAAAGAGTTAACAATGTACAACTAAGAGGATCAATAGGAACAAAGTGTAAGTATATACATGGAGGGATTTTCACAAACACACAAAGCATTCAAAATGGATCTTACAATGCTAACAAAAAATAGCAAATTAAGCCTTTGAAATTCTGCCCTCTGCGTTAAAGGATCTTCATCTTGAGGAGTTATGACACTTCATGATGAAAGCAGAGATTATTCGGAAGCCGCGAGACCGATGACTTTTCTAACAACCAAAAAGGCAACTAATATAGGTGCATGGAATTTTTAAACAATGTGGGAGACCGAAAGAACCCGTCTAATAGCTATGATGGTGAGAAGATACAACTTGGCGGTGTTAAGAATCAGGAAATTTCATTGTACCCAAGCTGGGCAGAAAAGGTGACATTCGGGGTAGTTGCTGGTGTACTTTGTTCACAAAGAAGAAAATGCTCCACATACTCACGAAGTTGATCCGATGCTATCCAAACAATTACAGAAAGCATTTATAGAATGGGAATCTCATAGATCTACGATCATCAAAGCATTCTTCAAAACGAAAAAATGGGGATCACAAGGAATTTTATCCAATATTATGCATTCATCAGTGAATGCAGTGACGACGATGAAGATCATTTCTATAAGAGGCTGCAATCGATCATATCGAAAAGCGTGGGAAAAGAACTGATCATCTCGATGGGAAACTTAAAATCCAAAGTCGGAATGGACGACACTGGGAATGAGAAGACCATTGGACAACATGATCTGGAAAAAAGAAACGAGAATGGTGAGAGATTTGTAGATTTGTGTGGTTATAGGTGGCAATGTATTCCCCCCACAATACTACCTTGGTCTCACCAGAACAATCTACATATAATCAGATCGATTGTTTATGTATCACTAAAAAATTCAGAGAATCAACGGAAGCAACACACACAGACTTTCCTATAGTTATCATTCCACCAACGATCGAAGAAATCAGGATGGCCACCAGACAAATGAAGAGTGGGAAATTAACAGGAACGGACAAAATACCATTTTAAGCAATGAAGTCAGACGTAGCAGCAACTGCAAACATGCTCGATATTGCATTCAAGAGGAGTTTGAAGAAGGCAAAGTGCTGACAGACGATATCTAATCACGATACTAAGGAAAGAGACCTGAGCAAATAAGTGAGCTACAAGGGCATCACTCTACTATTGGTACAAGAAGAGGATTCAACAGAGTGTTGCTTCAGCGAATGAAAGATTCAGTAGATCAACAGATCGGATTCTGTGATGATCGATTGTGCACACACCGAATTGCGAGACAGCGGATCTTCGTCAGACAATCAGTCACTATACATCAACTTCCTTTACTATGAGAGGGCGTTTGACAGATTGGATAAAAGAAATTTATGGAACCTTATTCTACACTCTGGTGTGTCTGAGAAAATTGACATCATCTGGAATTCACACGACAGACTACACTGCAAAGTAGTGTGTGGGGGACAGCTGAGAGACGCAGACATGACGGCTTACTCTTCTTCTGGTGTTTGACTAAATTATGAAAACATCCACATCTCAGGAAAAGCGTGAAATACAGTAGAAAACTTGGATGCAGCTAGGCTATTCGGACTTCGCAGATGGTCCGGCCCTTCTACCACATACGCACGAACAAATGCAGATTAAGGAAGCCAGTGTAGTAGAAGCCTCGGCATCAGTAGGCCTTAACATACACTAGGGAAAAAGTAAGATCCTCAAATACTACATGAAAAACCCCTAACCCAACCACACTCAATGGAGAAACTCTGGAAGAGATGAAGACTAAAGTAGCTATTGACTAGAAAGATGTGTCGACAAACTTTCCGGCCTTTATTTTTAAAGTGTACAGGGAACAGTCTCAGAAATATATGTTTATTAACAACTCAGTTTAACTACGATGACTCGCTATTAACCACTCACTCAAAGCTTCCTGAACTTTTACGGGTCTCCTCAACTTTAGGTGACGATTATCCTGCCAACTTTCGATATTGCACACGAAAATATCTTGACAATTCAATGGCCTGTGGCTCCTTCTAAGACAATAGAAAAAAAAGGCTTTTTATCTCCTGCCTTTGGCCACCTATCGTCGACTGCTAATGTTGAGGATCGGGACACATCCATCAATTATGTGACTGTTTCATCATATTACGCGTGATGACGGCTACAGTGCGAAACAGGTAATCTTGTTGAAAATTTGTTTACTACTTGTTGCAATCTGCCCAAATCTGTCGAGTAATATTCTTGCGCTAGATGATACAAAATTCTGTCAATTCGCCAAATATATGCTCGAGACAACCTGCTATCACTCTTCAGACCGTTGAAACCCGTCTCATCTGTAATACCGGAGGAAACCTAATTTACATGCAACCTAGAGTTCATAGAGGGTAGTCCATGTGCTCAAAGGTTGTAGAACAATTTTTCATTTTTATTGCTGGCCTAGACGGAGTTCCTGAGTCATCGTGTTCTATACAATAACTTTTATTCAAGTCTTTTAGCAAGGCCAGGCTAACTTCCTTTATTCTGCCAAACAACTGTTTCAGTATATAACATGACCTAAGATAGAGGGTGGTGTATGCATGATGCATTCCTCGTGTTCCTTCGCTTTACAATTAGGTAACAAAAATAAGAGCTGCTGACCATTATCTTTGACTTTGGATACAGATTTCAGCTCAAACTGTCTGATATAATTTATCTTCGTTAGTTCGCTGGTTGACCACTAAAACCATTTAGTTCTCCCTCCAGGAGCTCAAGACCCACACACAGTGATGATTTTATCACCTTTCTCTTGTTTTTTTGGATAGTCTAACACTTTTGTTTTTTATAAAGAAAATGCCTTTCTAAGGTCATGATGAGAACGGCTTATGAAACGGAAAACATACTTCTGTCGTCTGACATTACAATTGGGAGCAGAAGATAATACAGTACTCATTCTTTCATTTAGCGTTAAGGACCCGAACTCTCATTGGAGGCACAGTAGTTGTCGACTCAGTCTAAACTTCAACTCTCCAACTTCTAAAATTTGTCTTTCCCTGAACTTCTTTTCTTTCAACGCTGCTAGGTTAATCGTGGAAATAATTTTACTATATCAACTAACTTAACTAACGTTAGAGCCGTGACGTGAAAACGCATCAAAAAGGGCTTAACGCCCGATTGCATTTATTCTTGGTTCAACACTGAGTCTGTAGTGATCATCTTGTTGCGCTTACTAGGGATTCCAATGTTTGTCTGCAGATGATTACTGCTCTTTTGAGAACCCTATAAACAAGATTCTGGTTGAACACAGAACTTAAGAGACAAAGTTTATTCGATTAGGCCAGACCACGTTCTTCTGTATAGCAAACTATGCGTCCAATATAAACGGTTCTAATTTAATAAGGAGAACAAATCATATCAAAAGTGTAAATGACCTCAAAAGGTACACCTGTGCTATACAGTTAAGGATTTCTCTATCACAAACTAACATGCCGAACAACAAAAATATAGTTGACAAACAACAGTCTGACACCTGAGAATAAATAAAAATATTCCTAACAAGATGGGATCAAATGTCCATCTGCAAAAACTCCAGCAACCTCTCCAAGCAGACAGTCACAGGTTAACAGTCACGTACCGAACCACGCCGTGAACTTGACTTAAGTCAAACACGACGTAATTGTTAATAGTCCGGCAATATGTATCAGTAGAAATAAGTAACAAAAGGTAAATCTTCAGCCAAGGCCGCATGATGCGCGGTTTAAAGAGACTTGAATATAGAGTAAAATACAAGACAGGGAGAAGAAAAAATTAAATGAAAATACTGCCCATCAGAATGCTGTATAGGGATTTTCATTGTATTTATTCCGTTAGAGTTGTAGCTAGTTGAACTGCCAATTGCTGAATTTCCAAATAGAATACAATATTTGCGTGAAAAATTTAAAAGGTCTACCTTATCCCAATATATCTGCGAATTTACCCTACACCGAGAAATTTCCTCAAAATATTCTACCTCCCAGGGAGAAAATGAGCAGTTCGGCGACACTATAATTCGTGAAGGAATTAATTAGATTAGGGACAGTTAATCTTGCATTTCGGCACGAAATTCATCCACCTATACAACTAAATGGCATTTTGTCATTTTAATAAATATCAGTTCTCGATGGAATCTCCCGATTTAGTTTTAAACTACAAATCCTAATCATCATTCATCATACTAAGTCCAACCGTCTTTTGACCCATACTGTATTGGGTTGTTTCAAATTCGTTTTAGCGTCATACATAGTTCTTTTAAATTATTTAGCAAATACTATGTCTACATTCTATATTATTTGACTGACATGAAGAACGACAATATACTTAAAAAACAAATAACCATACTTTGTGGCTAAGAGGAATATTAACGACGTCCGGATCTACGTTACATCATTATCTTTGATACCAAACAAAGCACATGAAAAAGATGTCTACTTATGGAAATAGTAAACAAAGAGTACAGAAATTAGATTTTGTATTGTATGCATGTAATGAAGCGCAAGTTTTTGATCGGATGTTTTTATTATATCAGCGACCTCAAAAATCCCTAATTAAATTGAGTAAATAGTCAAGGTTGGGCACTGTTACGCAATCCAATACTAAGACGAGATAGCTACTTTTTAATTGCGCTCTATGTTGGTATCTGTCCAATCTGTCAAATTGTTTTATGCAATGAAGTAGAGTTATCTAGGCCAATGGAAGAGACTTTTAGTGAAGACATTTGGCGTCTACAAATGCTAGTATGTGTTATTTAAATAATCTTCGCCGGGATAATATTAATCATAACTATCAACCATTTACATCTTACAACACAGACAAACTATAAACAATAATACACATAAAGTATAGTTAAATGATCGTCATTTATAATTAATGAATTCTCTTCCTTGTTTTATCAATAATTTATATTTTACAGAAAGTAAATTTACGTGAGAGTTCAATGATGAATACTTGAAAACATCTTAAAAGATTCAAACCCTTTATATCCCATCAACGCAATACAATACAACATGCAGGTATTAAAACAATCCCCACCATTAATACTAAATATAACCATCTCATAACTAATTTATCAATGATAATAGAACCACTTGTTTGTACTATTAAACGTTTCTCAATGAATAAATTAATAATAAGAATAAATAGACCATTCGAATTTTGTGATTAACATTTTCACTTGGTAAAAAGTTTAGATGGTGTTATTTATAGTGATAATAATAATAATAATTCGAATAACGAAATATCACAAAATAGGCTGTAAAATACGACTATTGTAACATACATTTAGATTAGTATATATGTATTCACACCTAAACACAGAGAATGATACAACTACGCAAAATATACGCAAAACTATGTATATCCTTTTGTGAGTACTTCAACTGAGCTTTAAAACAAATTAAAAGATATGGATGAAAACAGAAAACAAAAAAGGAAGAGAAGCAGCTACAATAAATTAGTGTTCGATGAAGGAAACCAGTTTACAAATCAACAAATAGATATGAACGAAAGGAAGTAACAATTAATTTCTAAAAAAAAAACGAAAATGCTTTGATATTATCCTGAATAAGTATGTTTCAGTGACTACGATAATGATAAGATGGAAATTCTACAAGTAAATGGAAAAATTCGGGAACAGAAAAGTGATATATATATATATATATGAACAAGTGTGCGTGAAATACAGCTATGTGATTACTAGTTACAAATGAGGGATGTAATGTATGTTGATAATGATGATGACAATGATCATAATAACTGCGTAGAACCAGTTTTAATCTGGATAAAGTAAATGATCTGCATAATGAAAAGAGTTGTAAAAATGAGAGATTTCTGACGAAATATTGACATTTGACCAGTGGATATTTTTCTTACTGGTTGTTGATGATGATGGTGATGCTGATGATGAACAATTACAACAACCAACTGCACAATTTGTACAAGGTTTTAAGTTATGTGAATTAATTAGTCCACATGCAACAGTAACAGGTGAATTGGTGATAGTTATAGTAGGTCTAACACTGAATTAAAAAAAGCAAGAATAACAAACGAAGAGGAGGAATATTTGTAAATGATAATTAATAAATTTATAAGGGTAATAAATTAATTGAGATTTTTGTTTAAAAATAATTTACTTACTGTAACTCTCATTACTGCAGATGAAATATTTTCTTAAATATGAATAGCAAGCTGTGTTACAGTTACGAAATAGCAACTTTTATGATGAATAAAGATAACTACATAATACAATTAAAGACTGAAAGAAAAGAGAAATCTAAAATGGCACACTTAAACACAAACTTGTATTTGCTGGTTTTCTTCAGGTTTATGTAGAAAGATAATCGAATATATTAAAGATAAATTCGCTTCTAAACAATATGAGACAGAATGATATTTAGATTTTCCCTAGTTATTGAACGCTCTACAAATGCTAACCAAAACAATCATTTCTGAACTTGTGTCATCAGGTTACAAATTGTTTTCATAAGACTGGCGTCATTGTTTTTAGTCCGGTTCGACTACTATTGAGACAGAGGATGGAGATGAAACTGCGTGGAGGTTAGTGTAAGATACCGAACAGATAAACTTTCAGTTCACACGTATTTATAAATATACATCGGAGGACTGATCTTGCCAAATGAACGATTTTTTCGCTCATTAAACCTCGCTTATGCCTGTAATTGACTTACCACGCAATCTTAGAAAACTGGCTAATTGTCTGATTGGTTTGGCAAATAACCAGGCAAGAATTACTGCTAAAACGTTAATATCGCAATTAGTAATCACTGAAAGTGGAAGTTTGTTACTCTTTATAGACTAAGTATTTGTACTTTAGTCACATACTGATTATGTGCCTAATAATATATATTGGGGCAAAATAGCATTATTTGGAAAACTTATTTATGCTCGAACATAAGATAGAACTATTGATTGAGTTTAAGGGGGAACTGCAGAATAAACTGATAACAATAAAAATTAACTCCTATCTTGAGATAATCTGACGGGGTTATTAGTCAGCTAATTAAACAGATGTGAAGGCGGTTAGTGATGGACAAATAACAGATTTTCAGTCAAATGACTTCCGCAGTCTGATCCGAACTAATCGATATAGAAACACACATACCAGTTGGTTATAACAAAAAAGAGAAACAACTTGCATAAAAAATACAAATTTATTCAATGACTGATATCAACGGTGAGTAGTAAAAATTTTACCAAAATATCGGAGTTAAGGAGGAGCTGGGAGTTGTTGAGGTTTAACGAAAATACTATTTTGAACAAGATGACCATCAGTGAGAATGTAGCAAATGAAAACAATCATTTACAGACTATTATCAGATAAATTTCTCAAATCTCATGTATTGACGAATATCAAGAAGACAAGAGCATAATAGTGTACCAAATAAGGTAACACACCAAACCCATTTTTATGACTGTTTGAACTTTAAGGTAGGTCAGTCAACGTTATCCAGGGCACAGCTTAACATTGTGCGCGCAAAATACAGTCACTTAGGCTAGTGGACACATTGAAACTTGATCGATAGAATTATGTCGGCATTGAAGAAGGACATGAAATAAATAGTGATCATTACACATTGATCAATCAACTAGAAGAAACGTTGATGGAGATGAAAAATAGGTACTTGTTAGAGGAAATGACTAGGCTTCACATCAAAGAAATGTAAAAATCATTGTATTTCGTAAAACCAGCTAGCTCATTTGGAATGCAACTGTTGTGGATTTGTTTTATATAAGCAATAGCTACATATAACTTTAGTACGGATTTACTTGATATTGGCAATTTACAAACCCAGAACATAACAAGACAACCTCATAAATATAAAATAAAACAGAATTATACAGAAAACTTACAATTCAACTCCGACAGGATTCCCATTATAAGAATCTACCGTCAATGTGTTATTCATATCACCATTATCGCCATGGTAACGAGATACTCTCCACAGACTAGTTTTACTAATATGATTATTGGCACACAGTTGTAAAGTTGGACAAGACTCAAATATCGCCAGAAGTACATTACGGTTCAAACCGAACCACCATGGATTACCAGGACCAGATGATAACGAAGCATATAAGAACATACTAAACAATACAGGTATACAAATTAATAATGCACTACTTTTTGAAGCAGAAAGATAACCATCTAATCTCAACCCTAAAAGGATTAATGAAGTGCATAAGAAAATAACTATTAGTAAGTGTGAAGCATAATAACAAACAGATAATCTACGTTGGGCTACAGGAATAAAGAAGGCTGTAAAGTATGTGATTAGTGCAATAGTTAAACCAGCAAAACAAAATAAAAATCCCATTGCTAATAATATGAATGATGGGATAAAGGTGACAATCCAATTTGAACGTATCCAATTGTCAAGTCTAGCAATTAAAAATAATAATTGTAATAGATTAGCAGCGATACATAATTCTAAGGTAAACGAGCATACATGACGTGAACGTGGTATGAAAACAAAAGAATCTGAGTTATTGTTGGTAGTAGTATTATTGTTAATACTATTATTGTTGATAGTGTTGGTACTAGTAGTGGTAGTATTACCGGTATTGTTATTTAAGGATCGTGAATGATGTTGCCTTCGACGTCGTGCATTTGCTGTAAATGTTGCTCTTGAATCGATCATAACAAAAAGAAATCCGAACACACCCAAAGCACCAACAACTAGTAATGGTGATAAAATAGTTAGATAAGTAAGATTAGATGATTCAATTGATAAATGAATGCATAATAACACTTCAGAACACGTGATAAGAAAGTGAAAAAATGCTGATACAGACATTGCTTGAATGTAAGGTAGAGCAGGGTCATCACGAACAAGAAATGTACTACGCTCTGAATCATCAACATGAATTCTCCAATGTTTACACCATACTATTAAGCCAACTAACCAGCCGACAAAAACAATCGTTTTCCACAACCAAAGTGGTAGAAATATTGTCCAATAAGGAATTATTAAGACATTATCCATTCTAGCCGCAATTAATAACAGCCACACACTAACACATACACTAATGCATATTGTACCTTCATTAAGATTTTCAAGTGCTTTTTGAAAAGAAGCCATTTTATCAATTGACAAAACAATAAGTTGTTAAAGATTTTCAAATCTACTGGCAAAAACTCATTGAAACAGATGAAGCGTAATACAACTGGACTACTGTTATTATTATTTTCACTGTTCTAATAAGCATTTCAGTTATCTTCATTGGATATGTGCATTGTAGAACCTGGAATAAAAATACGAGGAATAAAATACATTGTTTATTTTCCAAAAGGCAAGTAGAAAAGCCACTCTGATGAGGAAAATACTATTACACTAACCAAATGAATGTACTTGATAAAAGATTGATAAGCTAAACTAAAAACCAATGTCGACCATTAAGATAATGGATGTGTATTTGTATTATTACGGTTTAGACGTGTATAGAGTAACACTAACCGTAAACTCTGTGGCCTAGAACCAGGGAAGTAAACTGGTATTTAGAAAATAACTTGCACTAGACTGAACATCATTGATTTTGTTATCTAGGGCATGTGCTAATTTTAAACAGCCATAGAACCCGGCTGATGGCGCACCATTAGTTTGGAATCAGGGTTTTCCAACTCCCCAAGGCGGATTCTCCAGGTCCACGAACCCGGAGATTTGCTTTTTATCCTCTCGATTTCGTAAACAACACCCCTGCCGCAAGAAGGCAGTGAGTGGGACTTCCCTGACAGTGGCTGTATACGCGTGACCATGTCAGAGCATTTCGAAAGGGAGAGCTAACTCTCTTACCCTCGGCAACCAGAGGTTCCTGTCGGGCTTTTAAAAGTCCTTTGCATCTTCTAGGTGCAAAGCACATGCCACACCCATGGACACTGATTGTATAACTTAGGTATCACCATCTCACAATAAGACAACATCAACCCCATACTTGATATCGAAAGGTCTCCTCTCAAGAAACATATCCACACGACCGCTACCTCTTTCCATCGGAGTTATTTTCAGATTGTCGTTGTTAGCAAAGTTTGACGCAATCGGAAGTAACCGCATCCCTAAATAATTATCATGTAGATAACTTGAGCCACTTTTAAAGATGAGGATGATGATTATTTCATTGTAAGCTGTTTGAACATTTTATACCCCAATCTCTTCTAAATAACCAAGTTAATCTGCTGACTATGAGTGGAGCAGCATCAAAAGTACATAAATAGCTTAGAATCAGGGTTTGTCAACTGCTCCAGGTTGATAATCTGTATCCTTCCATTTCAGCCGATTCCTTGAATTAAAAGCTGGTAACTGAGCACAGTAACAAAATCTTACTTTACATAACGCGAAGGTATTGACATTTTACCACAGTAACCAATGTGAGTTAAGATTAGTGGTTACTGAGTATGAAATTAGATATGAGCCATCTAGTGTAATTAAGGATTCAAAGATACTCAAAATGCATGTATTGTAAACACATGTATTCTACGCTGTGGTCATGTTTTACGTTCATAATGCAATAAAAACAAAACTGATCTATGAGAGCGGTGTATGCTACTTATGTTGACAGATATAAGCAGTATGAAACACCAACCAGAAGTGGAATGCTTGTCAAAAGAAGGTTGAGAAGATTGAACCGAAGAAAACAAAAAGGAATTGCGAATAGGAAGAACCATGAAAAATGTAAATAACAACTGATGGAACATTTGAAAACAAAGCATCTAAGATATCGTTTTCATAATTTACGAAGACACTGTAATTTTGCGCTAAATAATAAATTGGTTTACTCCACTTGAGTTCTCGTTTACTACATAAGAACGAGATAACTACAGATGATAGCATGAACATTGGGGTTTTGCACAAAATTCAAATCCCACGTATAACTACCACCAGAAGTATGTTTTTATACTGCTCGAAACGTTTGAAATGGCAGAGTTACATTTTGCCACTATAAAGTAAAAATGATAGATAAGGGTATTTGGTGCTCGATTATATCTTCGCAGATTTTATATAACAGCTAAACCGACTCTATCTTTAAATCCCAACCACAAACTCTTTAGCCTGAAAATTTTAACCTGTATCACTTTATTTCGTGGACAAACGAATCAGACAGCGCCTCTGAGATTTTTGCATGCGATATTTTAGTATATTTGGCTACAGAGGGTTTCGCGTTATAGCTAGTAGTAGTTTTTGATGAAAACCCTAACCCGAAACCGTTAATACTTATCTTAGGTACGTAACCCTAAAGAAAAAAATTTAGGGAGCCTTAAAAATCTAATTAGGTCCCTATAAGGGCTCAGAAATACGGATAGACTATATACGAAAGGACAAGTCATTGCTTCTCCAATTCACATTCAGACTAACTTGTAAAAGACTTTAGTGGATTCGTCAAATGCATGAAATAAGCTTGTGTTTTGTAACACCATTTTCGTCTACACAAACATTCTATAGACAAAGAAGTTTTTCCAGTCGGCTAAGAAGTGGCTAGAAATTGGTCAAGGTCTTTCTAGACTCGTCTTCATACACACATTAAGACATCGGCATGTGCTTATTCAAGTTTGAGAGTCCTGTCCTCTGTTGCGCATCTACGCCAATATTACCAACATCCGTGTGAGTTGTTTCCAGGATATCATCATCACCATTTAGGGAAAACACTCAAACTTTCCCAAAATCGGAAGACTGGGATATTACATATATTAATTTGTGCAAAAAGCGATATTTCCCTTAAATAAACGATGTCAAGGGGGAAATCTACTTTTCCGCATTATCGACGTTGTCGTCCCCTTTATTCCTAACTCGAGCTCCCAATTTTGGCGAAAATTTGACCCACTTTGGGGAAGCCGCTATAGTGAATTTTGCGGAAACTTGGGGGAAATGTCATTAAAATCCCTAAATTTCCTCAGACCTGGGAAAATTCCCCAAAATTACCCTTCAACACTGGTCAAGGTCATTTGACTTTGGGAGTTTCTTTTTCTAGTCACAACTATAGTTTCTATAGAAACTTTTTTGATGGATTAGGGGACAACCTTACGCTAACCCGCACAGAAAAAAGTTTGGGACTTGGGATATTTAATACGTAGCTTATAAGCTGTTGATCTTAAGTAACACTATTACTTATGAAGCAAGCCAAAGGAAACGATGCTTCATTAAACTAACCAAACAAAAATAAAGATGCCTTTTACGTATACGGCTTGCGAATTCTACTTTTAAATTATATGAGGTCATGAAGAACACCAACCTTAGAGAGAATGAAATCCTAGTCAAAGAAAAGTGTTGCGGTCTTAACGCTATTGGCGCCTAATATTTTCCGTTCGTACTGCAGTTCCAATACTACACAAAGTCTGTCAAAATGACTGTGGTTACATTTTTTAAGTATGATAAACTGTTTGATGCATAGAAAAGCTCTAATTGTTATTGCATTGTTAACACGGGCCAAGAAAGACTGTATTGTCTAGTACCATGTCAAGCATACATGAGTTATTCTAGCATCCAGACAGACCAATCTATGCATTCTTCCCGAGTCTTATTTTCACCTTATCAATTATTTGCTAACTAGCTTTGACTGTTTTTTATATGGGCATATTTGTTAGTGACTTACCCTACTGACCGACTAAAAATATAGAGTTGTAGCGGTAAATATATCCACATAACAAAATAGCTCTATAAGTTTTCGACATTGGATGCTGACCACATTAGTTCCAACGGACTCACCTATCTGAAGTCACTCGATCATGCATCCGCATCAGATCACAAGTGGGAACGCCGTGCTCAACAACTCCTGCAATCGCTAGCCGGATTAGTTCAGACGATGCTCGATATATTGACAGTCTATCAAATATACCTTCGAACCTCCTCGCTTCTGTCTTTTGATTTCGCTTAATGGGTACGATTCATAGTAGAAGGTGTTACTGGTTAAAGCTTTGTCAAACTCCGAATACTTGTGGCATCTTCAAGTTAGATGTACCTGTTTATATATGTTGCACCAAAAGCATACATGGTTTACTTCAGCTTGAGTTATTTCGGTTAAGTTTTGGCATTTTTCAAATTCCTTATGAGTTGGTTTTTCTTCGACTGCTCTGCTTTTACATCTTTTAAGATGGTCTGCTCTACTCACAAATGTGGACGGCCAAATGGTTTCTACACAGTGGATGTAGGAATTCTATGTGATGAGTATAAAAGGCGTGTACCCGTTTAAATAAAAAATACCCAAAGCCTAACACTCATTGACTTCATGTATTTTATTGTTTAAGTAAGAAGCAATCGGCTTTCTGGTGTTGGACATAAAGGAAGTGTGTGGGAGCTAAATTGGTAACACGAGTACTGACAACGAAGACTATGTCAGTGTACTTAGTGCTGATGGGAAGCAAGTCAAATACCCATTTGTGAAACGTCCAAAATGAATTTAAGGATGAGAAACAGCTGTATATTGGTGGTCGCGATTTAACAGTAGTACTCCACTGAAGTCCCAAAGTAAGAACGATCTGATCTCATTGAACATTATCGTGAGTGACCAACTCGAATCAAATGACTGTGAAAGAAAACCAACGAGGCATAAAACGATAACGCAATCGAAAACCGCGAACACGACTTTCGAAGGAATCAAACCCGTACGTAAAAGAAAATGACTCTGTTAGAAAGCATGCACACGCTTTGGGGTTTGTGGAATTCGGCATCAGAAATATAGTGACATAAAGATTTGAAGTGTGTGTATTGCAAAATTAATAAAACCATGTAAGTGGGTTGCAGGCGAGACCGAACTAAGAAGGGTGTTTAAATACGTACTCAGAAGTTACAATTAAAGGTACGTTATACTAAACAATGGAAACGAATCTAGTAGTTTGAATATTTCTGTCTGACTAGATCGCCACTTAGGGAAGGAATCAAGTGAAAGAATGACCTTACTGAGTTAGAAATTCGATAGCAAAATATCGAAGGAAACATTAGGATGCAGAGTTTTCGGGTGGTCAGGTCTTCAGATTCAATGCTTCCGAAACCTGTGTGAGTAGAACGAGTTATTCTCGATATACCTTAAATGAGTGCTACTTAAACGCTCGTAATCTGAGAAATAGAATGTCCGAGTCAATATTGGTGGTTGTCGAAGATAACAGTTTGTCGGTCGATTTGACATCTATAAATCTTAGTAAGGTATTCGGTGAGGTTTCGCATCCAGGTTTTGTGCAGCAGATTTCGAGCATTGGAATAACAGATGCGGTGCAATAATGGGCAAGTGCAGTACAACAAGATACATCATAGGCTCACTACCCCCTCTTCTCTCAAGTCATCAAGTATATTGTCCGTAAATGATATCAAAATCTGAAGAACAATAAGTGGTGGGTTTCGAAGTTAAGACCTAGAAACCAATTCTACGGAGAATGTGCTAGTACACGTCGCACACGTTAATATATGCCGGTATTCTGTCAACGGTACATCGCCTCCACGCGTGTAGGAAAACAAGGACCAAAGGGTAAGAGTAATTTATAACTTTAATAATGTGCACATGGCAACTTAGCAGTCGCTTAAGGTTCTGGATATATATAACCAGTATTCAACTGCTGTGACGAACGGATGCTTGGAACATTGTATCCCACCAACATAAGTATTCTCGATAACCTCCGATATTTCACTTTATCACTCTTCATATTCTCATCATTATTGTGTGTAGCATATGCATCTGGTGCTCCTTTGTACCAATACTAACGTGTTCAAAAAAATAAAGTAAAACTACGGAGGAGCTAATCTAGAGTACTGTGTCCAAGCAGTCAGTCCATTTTTTGTTAAGGAATCTAACACAATCGAACATTTCGAGCGGGAAAAAAGACAGGAAATATCTTTTTAAACACTTTTTTGATGAAAGCTAAGAAACGCTTGCACCCTTCCTCCTCATCGTATCGTAGGACGCGAGGTGACCTTATACTGACATTCTGTATGTTTATTAACAAGCTAACTGATATCCTTTTTTTCTCCTCGAAAACAGACTATCTTCGAGTTCATGGTAAAAAAGGTTTAAAATCAGCGATCTCGCCGAATTAGATTAGAGTTTCGTTCTTTCCATTTAGTAGACAATGAATGGAATATCTTGCCTGAACATGAGGAATCAGACTCATCATTGAACATTTTAGAGGGCTAGCTAAACCTTAACTAGAAAACTTGCTGCAAGAATTTACACACCTCGACCAAAATAGTACCCTTGTTACTGAATACTTATCCCCAAAACCAATACCGTGTTCAAAGATCTTTAAAACAACTCCATTGAGGGTCATTCATAGGGTCATGTTTCGTACCGTTTCGAGCTATTCGTTGATGTAGGTTTTATTGCATCTGTACTTCCACCGTATAATAATCCTTAATTACAAACACTTATCAAGACAACTTGACGTTATTTTTTGTGGTAGCCAAATTGTTGCCATATGTATAATATAAATACATATTTATATATATATAGGTAATATTACATTCGTTCGTAACACACTTCAGTGCAGTTTTTCGAATCACCTAACCATTACCTCCCCTATGATGATATCATCACAGACATCTGTTGACTAACTTTGTACATCCCGAGTTAATCAACGCTATAGCGGGGAACAATTGTTACAGAATTATTTAATTTAAATTAAAGAATTCTGTAAGTCTTACAGTTTGAGGCTGAACTCAATGCTTTTACTGCAGCAAAACACCTTCACTCAACCTTTCGCATCGCCATATGACGATGAGAATGTGTGTTTGAGTTTCCCCAGACAACCCAAAAAGGGGAAATAAAGGGGAAAACGCATCAGAATGTCGCCTTTTTCGCCTGTCCGGGGGAAATAATGCGGATTTTCCCCTTTTTCGCCTTTTTGTCGACAAATTACCGACTTATCGCCTAAATATCCTCTGAATTATCGCATTTTCGCCTAAATATCCGCTGAATTGTCGCATTTTCGCCTAAATATCCGCTGAATTTTCGCATTTTATCCTAAATATCCGCCGAATTGCCTACTTATGCGCTTAATTGTCTACCTTTCGCCTAAATACACACATTACATACTATTTTCTATCCATCGACAGAACCCCAAAAGTTTCCTATGTTCGCCTTTATTTTCAACAACAGACCAAAATATATCTGCAATGCAGTGTAAAAGCGGTAAATATTTCAAAAATTTTATTGAAAAAGAAAAGCGTATTATTGTACAACATTAGAGCACAAGCTAGCTTCAGCTGAAGCATCGATTGTTATGCATATCCAATGCAATTGCTAATTCATTGTTATTTGAAATTATCTGAAAAAGAACGAACAGGTTATAATTTATTCATAAGAAATGTGCATTTAATCAAAAGTTCACTGAAACTCAAACACACATTCTCAACACTTCAACAGTTTCCCATGTAGGTAAAAGAGTAAGCTGTTTGAAAGAATGTTTATTGAAATCGAGGTACAACATCAAAACAATTGCACGGACTAATCAGAATTGAGGTAGTCGTCCTGTGAATTCTGAATTTTAAAATAAATAAAAAATAGTCACAGCCATATCTCAATGACATGCTTTGGCACAACCAAATACTTGAAGCTGAACTTACGGTTATGTTTGTTAGTATTGTTGACTGTAACTATAGAGCCGTAGGGAGGTTATCACTTTAAATTAGTACATACCTGATTTTCTTTTCTCCTATTTCGTTTTATCATCTTGTCTCGGATGTTGTGAAAGTAACCTTGTGTCGCGATGTCGTAGAGCTTACCAAGGTCTTTCTCGTTGACAGAGGATGACAAAAAGCGATGAGTTAAGGCACCTGAAGTTTAAGTAATAGATATAGGTTACTTCGTATGCAGCTGTAAAACGTGCATTTCTGTAGTGCTCGTTTAGAAGAGGTGCCAAGTAACGTGAATTTACTGGCCACCTCCGGTGTCAGCAGATGCGATAGAATAAAACGCATGGACGTTTTTGGATCGTCACCTGATAACCTAATGACCATTGCCATCTGTAATAGTAACAAATTATTAAATTCATGTTAATGACCTACAAATCTGTCCCTGGTTTCTTTCTGCGACAAACCAGTATCTAGCATCTGTAGTTCCTCTTCAGATGACAAAGGGAACTGCTGACTTGACAGCCCGCAATCGAATTGATGCGGTCTTTCGCGCTCATTAGACTTTGAAAGCAATCGGTTTACATTAGCATTCAAGTCTATAATGGTGGACGATATGTTGTTAATCGTTTTAGTCAAGTCATTCATAGCTGACGAAATCTTCAACACCACAGTATACAACCTATCACAGGTGAAAAAGGTCACTAGATAATGCAGGTTACTTACTGCCTATCGCA